CTTGCCAAGAATAGTGAAGCTTCAACTTCCATCTTGCGTGGACAGCTGAATTCATGTTCACCCCATATTAAACAACCCCAGTTTATTCATAGGGGGGGGGGTGTTCCCTCGAAAAGTGGTGATTCCCCGCTAAAACCAGGGCCACGTTGGGGTTGGATAATATGGGGTCAACATTACGCCATTGGAACCAGCCTGTGAAATGTCTAACGATGATTCCAGATGTTGTCTCCTTGCGTAGTCCTAAAACGACACCAAACAGCATGGTAGGGATTCAATTAATCCATCTGCAAACGAACGAAAGGAACTCAAAAAGAGGTTCCTTTCCCCAAAAGGAGACTCCTCCAAGACGGGCGTTGGTTTGGGGGGCTCATGCCTGACTCTTCAAGGGGCATTCTTCATGGAACCCAAAAAGGGCATCCCCCAAGATTCCATGTGGCACCTCCAAAGCGGTCGGTGGATATGAATCGCCAACTAAACGATGTCCACCATTTCGGGTCCTTTATTAAAATCACCATCCAAGCTAGTCAGGAAAAAGCGGAACTGCTGGGCGACTGCTTCACTAGAGCGGTTCCCGATTACCCCTCAGGGTGGGGGGGGCTGGAAACAATTTGCCAAGTCGGCAGCGCCCATTTCACCGGTTGACCTTGGTTCTAACTGACATGGTGATAACGGTCTACATGGGCATTGTCAGGAGTCCACTTTTTTGACTACCCCAAGATAGACTTAAACCCAACAGTTCTCCTTTGGAGAGAATGAGCCACTGGGCTCAGGTCTGCCCTGGGGTAGTCAAAAAAGTAGAACCCTGGGCGTTGCTACGATGAACCACTTTCCAAATTGGCCAACCCAGCAACTCCAACCCAGAGGGGGATTCTTCCATAAGGGGCTGCGAAAAAGGAACGACAAATTATCCATCGCCTTTGGTTTGGTGGTTAGGGCAAATAGCGAGTACCTGAACGGTCTCCTTTCTTCGGGAAGCAGGTACCGACAATAAGACCAATCTAAACCAGACGAACCCATCTATTCTACCCAAACTCACTAAAAAAAATAGGAACACCTATGATATGGGCACCACCGAGAAAAAAAAAAGACCGGTTGCCTTTGGATCCCCCCCGAAAACTTCGAGGCCCGAAAGAACGAAACTCACCCACCCGCGCTCGTTCCCGCGCTCGTCCCCGCCGTCCGCCCGTCCTTGGACGCAAAGACCCGGAAGCCGCAGCTGCAGTCCCAGTCCCAGTCCATGGCGCGGAAGGCGGAAGCGACAGCTCGACGGCTCGGGGCTCGGGGCTCTGCTGAGATCTCTGGGCGGTCAGATCCTCAGATCCCCTAGGTGGGTCCAACGGAAACCCGACCACCAAACCGACGAAGAAGCTAAAGAGTTCTGAGGAACCGGATGGCTGGGAAGCAAGAAGATGTGTTGGTGGTGGTTTGTTGGAGATTTGTGACTTGGTTCCTGGCCCTGCCACTTCCCTCCAAGCACCGCTCCTCAGAATCTCCGCCTAAGGCAAGCGCACCTGGTTCGGGGTTAGGGTCGACCTAAAGAAGATCCAGGTGAGAAGCGCGACTGCTGCTAGTCGACTGGGATCGGTTCGAAATCGGTAGGGAACGAGTTCGAATGAACCGTTTGGGGATCCCTGAAAAAGGGAAACCACCGGTTGGATGGTTTTTCTTGGGGTCATTCCATTTCTCATTCCCTGCTGAGCACCAGCAAGTAGTGTTCTGCGTTGCTTGTGCGCGAGCCTTCATAAGCCAATACGCAAGGCTGGCTTTCAGACTTTAGGTCGGTCCATGGGTTCTTGGAAATAATTGCCGGGCAACCAGAAACAAGCCCTCGACCCCGGAAAGTCTTTCTGTGATACCAACGCAGGCCATCTTCCGATGGAGCCATGGCTAGAGCCAAAATCCGCGGATTACCGCTCGACAAGCACCGAGATGTGGCCAGTGAGTTTTCCTTTGTGGGCATTGAAGGAAATCCCCCAATTGGTGTTCCATATTTGCAGAGGCTGGATCTTTCTCAGACTTTCATTGGGCTCTTCTCTGGTTTTGGTTGGCTCCCTTAGCAGGACTTACTACAACGGCTACAACGGATCCAGGCGGACCGTTAGTTTAGCCCAAGGGAACCGGTCTGAGCATCCCTTTCTGACCTCTTAAACCGCCCGAAGTCCAGCTGTCCATACCCTCCCAAGGGGAAACCATGACAAGGTGGCCTGACAACCAGGAAGCAAAAGGGGCATGCAAGAGGGCTACACTCACTCTGTGCATTTGCCGATCTCGCGCAGTTCATCGCCAAATGAATTAGCCCGGAACAGCCCGGGAAGTTCCCACGTTCCAGAACCCTCCCTGAAAGCTGCTCCGAACCGGGTGCCAGCTAGTTCTCTGGCAGACAAGTCCGAGCAAAATGCCCGCTTTTGCATCAAATCAACCGCAGGCCACTTGCGTCACGGCCGGCGCAAGTCTTTCCTAAGGGTCTCGGAAAGAGATCAAGAGGAACACAGTCCCCTGAATCCCCGAATTAGAGCTTTGATCAAGTTGAAAGTAGATGGCACAAATCCCGTTTTGTGGGTAAGTAAGAGGGATGACTAAACCAGATTGCAGGAATTGTGCCAGCTACCAACTCACCCCAAAAGTGTGGCACTTGAAGGGGAACGCCCCCCAGTATGAATCAACCAGGGGTCTATTAATGCGGGGTCAACATTACCACATAAGATGGTGTGCCACTCTTGGATGTAAGTCGGGCAATTTGCCCAGGTGGTATGCTCCAACAGCCCCATCCATGCATGGATGCATGGATGCATGGATGCATGGATGCATGGATGCATGGATGCATGGATGCATGGATGCATGGATGCATGGATGTCTTGCTTTTAGGTGACCACCCAAACTGGTGGGTTCTTCCCGTTGGTTTCGCTTTAACCCCATCGGGTCAATCAGATTCCATCAACCCCGCCCACCCCCCACCTCCGAGTGGAGCGCTCGCTGGCGCGCTTGGTCGTGCGAAGCGAAGACCATGGGTCGTGGGGTTCCCCCGAAGCTCGAGTACTGGCGGCCGCTCTCGCTTTCTCTCTGGCATATGGTATTTATATGCATGTACATGTACGTATATGTATACATGTGTCTGTGCCTGTGCACGAAGCCAAGTCTTTTTGTTCTCCGCAAGGGGCCAGAAGGGAAGGGCAAACCTTGCTGGAAGTGCTCTCTCACCCGCAGGGGCCGTGAGAAGAAAGGGAACCCTCTTCTTGGTGATTAGTTGTTCAGGACTGACATGTTCGAAAGAGGAAAACAAACGGAGACCCTGTTCGTTGTTGGTTGATCTGGAGGAACCCTTTCCAAGCAGCTTGGAATGCGTTAGTTGCAACGTGTGATCTCCGGAACGCGGCAATGGGACAAAGCCTTCCACATGCGAACCGAAGGTGGAAAGGCGGGCGCGCGGACGAATGGATCATCCTCTCAAGCACGCATATACCACTGACACAAATTTAAGGATCTTCTAGGTGATTCATAATGATCTGGTCCTGGTCGTGTGAATTCCCTTTTGAGTGGGTCCATGACCATTCCCACCAACTCATTCACGAGTGCCTTTGAAGGCGTCACAGCTGTGGAAGCAAAGCAAGCTGAATACGCAACCTAGCAGAGTCACAGTTCAAAGAGCCCTGATGCAAACGCGAAACCCCAAATTCCAGATATGAGCTTGATGTTATGTTTCTTTAAAAAAAAAAAAAAAAAAAAAAATGTTTAAAAAAAAGCGCGAAAACAACATACAGCAACATAAACTCCATGACCTTCGCAGGACACCACCAAGCGCGGCAACTCCTCGGGGAGACCACAGGAAGCCACGTGGTGAGGTGTGGGAAACCTGTCGCTGGCGATTTGTTTAGCGAGGTGTTGACGGGAAAGCCAGGACCTACGTTGGACAAAAGTGGCGGCTAAACCGGCAAACCCGGTTAAAAAAAAAAACAGCTTTTTTGCCAACTGGGTGACTGGGTGTGGCGCAAGAATGTGTCCCAAAACGGCACAACGCCAAAGCGCAAAAGTTGGGCGGCTCAAAAGCATTCAGCCCGGAATGGCGCCTTGGTTTACAAAAAAAGAAACAATGGTGACATCCCCCAACAGTGCCCCGAATCCCGTGCCTTCCGGAGCCCTCCCTGAGAGCCAGAGCTTACTTGCAGGCGCCATAGGGAAGTGACCCCTAGTGTTGGGAATGAACCGTTTGGGGATTCCCTTTAAGGAAGCCACCAGTTGGATGGTTTACGGGCAAATTTTCCCTGCCCATCGCAGCAGCAAACTTTTCTGGGCCTCTCGACCCTCTAGCTTTCAGCTTTTGGCGGGGAAAAAAAGAAGGCGAGTTGGACCCCGGCGCGAGATGTTCCTTTGGTTTTCCCAATGGATCACAAGGGGCCCCGCTCTGAACACCCCGGGAAGTATAGGAGGCTCCTGGGAATCGGTGGCCTATGGTCAGCTTCCCGTAGGTTTTTTCTTTGAATACCAAAAGCGCATGTCGCATCCATCTTGAGAAGTGCACAGCTACTGCGTCCATCAAGACAACATCCTCATTTAGAGGGGGGCTGTTGCAAAATTACCCTCTTTTAGAGGGGGGGTGTAACGAGAAACCACCACCAAACAACTAGCTTTTGGAAGCCCACAGACGTGTTTTGCTGGGCCCAGATCCACCGACCCGACTCGTTTCATCGTTTCCTGAGCCCTTCGCTCGGGGCATGGCCATGCCGAGAAAGGCGCCGCCGCGGCCGTCGGCGCCGGGGCCTCGAAAAATTTCGAGGTGCGCCGAAGGCAAGTGCACGGCGTGCTTGACATATCATGGGTGGCTCGTCTTTTTGCTGAGGGTACCAAACCAAAAGTAGAAACCGTCATTTGGGTGTGGCTCTCAAAATTACAACCGTCCCCATGTCCTTTCTTTGGTTGGTTTATTTTGAGGAAACCGTCCCCGTGTCCTTTCTTTGGTTGGAGAATTTGGAGGGGTGGGTGTGGGTCGAAATCAATGAGCTGGGGTTACGCAGGTGTTTGTCTTTGTTTCCATTTATCAGGGTTCCATCTTGGACTCCCATTTTTTGAGCCACTGCCATGTGACTCGCTCGTCTTTGTGCTGAGGGTACCTTTTTGTTTGGTGGTTTCGAGCGGAACCCGAAAAGAAAACCGCCATTTGGGTAGAGGGATCCTTCAAAAAAACAGACCCATATGAGTTGAATGAACAAATACGCTCAGACATAAACACATCAACAACTGCATATGGCTGCGGGTCAAAAATCGTCTCTTGGCTTTGACCCACACCGGCACGCAACTGTTGATGTATTTATGTACTTGCATTCATTTGACTTACCACTTGATTAATTATGAAGCTACGTGTAAACTTGTGTATGCATTCAGTTGTTTGAGTTCGTCCAGCCCAAAAAAAGCACTTTGACGGAACCTATCAAGGAAACCCTGACTACCGACATGTGAATATCTACACGCAAGGTGCCATCGACTGACCTGACACGGAATCCAGAGCACAAACGAGTAGAGCCTGGAGGTGAAATCCCTCCATCCGGGTGCGGTTAATGTCGACCCGTGATCCACTAAACAAAGGGCCCATTTATAAACTAGGGTTGATTAGTCGGGGGCCAACAGTACAACAATCCATCAAAGTGAATATGGGTGTGACGTTTTGTAGGGCCTTTTCCCAGAATGGCTTCCTTTTCAAACCATCGCACAAGAGGTACCGACTCAAAACCGGACACACGCCACTACAAGGAATCCCGAAGCACTCGCATACTTCGCATGTCGCGCACAAGTGTTGTGGCACGATTGGACAAATCGATCATGCCAACCTTCACAGCCCCCGGCCTTCTGGACAAATCGATCATTCCACAAGACCCCCAAGTAGAAGGCCTTCATCATGAGCTCTTTTTTCCCCCCAAATCGGCAAGCTCAAAACCGAGACTGGGAGATCAGTCTGGAACCAAACTCGAAGCAGTGCCAACAACTTCAACACCCATGAGCACCTGTTCAGCAATGGACCCCGATCGCCCGTCACAATACGTGCAAGAAAGGATTCCCTGGTTTTGCCAGGAGGCTTCGGTGGCTTCCAAACACACCTGAGAGGCGGGTTGACTCATTTCAATCGTGTGGTACGACTCTCTGTGTGTTTTTTCCTTCAGATAAATCCATCTCAATGTGACGATGTCTGACGCTGTGTCAGGCCGGCCTTCATTGATCAAGGTTGTACCGCGGGTTTCTGCCGCTGTGGATGGGTATGCCCTCCACGGTTGGTACACTTGGAAGTGTGGTGGTCAACTTCCGCCGTGGCTCTGAGCCAATGTCCTGGATGGATGACCATCTGGCAGCATTGTTTCCTGATGAAGTGCTCATCCAGCGATGGTACCAGCTTGTAGAGGACGTCGAACAGGTGCTCTTGCCAGAGTATAGTAGACTGGGCCATGAAAGTGTGACAGTCGACCTCGGCGCAACACTTCTCCAGCAGCTGGCCTGAGGAGACAACAAGCTATGCTCCTTGGCACAGTGGCTACTCGGCTTGTGCCATTGACGAGATCCACTGTAAGGGAAGCTACCCTAAATGGACCGACTCCAAAAGTACTTTGGAGGACCCCTCCCAATGACCACTTCAATGGAGTTAAAACTAGGGTGGACGCCCTAAATATTGCAAGTAGGAGAACAAGGGAACTCATTATTACTGCAATTCCCCATGGTTTGGTGGTGGGTGTGGTTGGTTTACTTCCAATATTTAGGGCATCCTTACCTACACGAAGCCGCCGACTCCAAAAAACGAGAGCCACACCTTCCGCATCCCGATTTCAGAGCCAGGCCCCCCACACCTTCCGCATCCCGATTTCAGAGCCAGGCCCCCCCGCTCGTCGAGCGGACACGGTCCTTTCGCGAGTTCTCTCCCGGGAAACCTGTGAACCGACCCACGCCACCCCACCCCCAAACCGGTTGAAACGGGCCCCAAAGGTAACAGTCCCGTGATACTGTGGATGGACGAAATCCTGCAAAGCATGGGCGAAAGCATTGTTGGTTGAAATTTGCAAGCAAATCACCTTCTAGGCTTTCTGAACGGACTTTCAAGGGGTTGCTCGGTATCACAGAAAGTGGGCCCCCCCATGTCCCACAGCCTTGACCCTGGTCCCTTTGTTGTGCTTTGAAACAAAGTCGCTCAACAATTCGTCACCGAGCAGCGTGGCACAGCATCGTGAGGACGGCCTTGGGCACGTGCAACCGCTGCTTCTTTGCACATGCTCGGCAACGCACAGAACATATCATGCAGTGGATGGAAAAAACATCCAGTTGTTCTGTGGCTTGCCCCAATAGGGCTTCATCATCCATCCAAACCGCAGGCATATGTCAATCCGCATCGCTTTAACATCGTCTAATTCCCTTTCAGGCCACAAGATCTGGGAAAGCAAGTTCCCTTCAACACCCGAGCACCTTCCGCTCAAGCCACTCAAAACACCCAGCGTCTCGTCGATCGCTGCGTCAACCGGCGTTCGCCGGGAGGAAGCCACCCCGGCTGTTGCCCAAAAAATACCCACGGACGTCCAGCTTGGGGCTCAAGGGAAACCTGTTGGAGATCAACTGGTCCCCCCTTTTTCGGGGGCAAATAAAATCTAAATCTATGGACCCCACTGCTTAGGTTCCAATACTTCCCAGCCCCACAGGATCTTCTGTCCCCTTTGAAAGATCCCGAACGGAAGCTCGCGCAGGGCGGGCCCCGAAAACCAGACCCCGGGTTGGTTCCCCGTGCCACGGACACGAGTCCATGTTGCAGTGCCTGGTTGCCACTAGAAACCAAAACCCTACAAGAAGGTGGCCTGCAACATAGACCCCAAGTGCCCATCATACATTCCCCCCCCCTTAGTCACCCCTTTGACCGAACCAGGACTCTTAGGCAAGAGGCTCGAGGCTGCAAGCCGCCCCCATGACGAAACCATGGCACAGAGGAACGGGTTTCGGCCAGGCGATTGGCTCCAGGTCTGGATGTGACTGCCAAGGACTGCTAGCTGGATATGGGCGGTTCGTCTTTCTAAGGGGTGGCCCTCTTTTGGCGGTTTAAAGGGAAACTAACAGGAAAACCGAATTTTTGCGGGGTTCCCGTCAAGAAAGACAGCCTCCTTTGGCATACTTAAATATTCCCTAAAAGCTTGCTGCTTGTACCCAAACTCGGAGTGACTTCTCCACACGGGTTGCATTTTGAAAAACCTGGTTTTCCAGGCAAATACCTCCTTTGTTAGTAGAGGGTTGACATGATACCTCCAAAAAAGGCGGCCATTTTGGAGTAGGGGGTATCTTCTTCCCATGTTCCGCTCGAGGGGATGTGGCACATTGCCACCTTCTGCAAGCTTGGAAAGGGGCGAGAAGCGCGAACACGTTGCATCGTCCACTGCGGTGGTGCCAAACGAACAGAGCTGCCGTTTGATCCCCCTTTGAAAACAAACGTGGCTTCAGAAGAAGCAAACACTTTGGCACATCCGAGTCAGGCAGAACGAGCCACACAAGCCAGCCCTTTCGACCACCTCAGCTTTTGTCCAGAATAGGTGACCTGAATTCGGTCAAAAACAGATCCTTTCACTTGAAGTCAACTCGCACGAGTTCGCGAACGAGACGCCATAGCCGGCAGCTACAAAACCCAGCAGGCCCAAGCCCGTGACCCTTTCAGCAGCCCAAGCGCCGGCGTGGTCCGCCCTAGGCTTCGCTTCTTGAGAATTGCTCGTAGGCCAAACCAATCTGTTCATGGCTTCCTTTCCAGCCAAAATGAAGCCATTTTTGGGACAAGGTGAGCCTTTACCCGAGACTTCAACCGCGCGTGCCTCACCGGCTTTGCACACAGGCTTCCCAACAACCCAAGCCCGGCGTTGCCACGGCACAAGTGAAATCGGCAGAGGGGTAGTAAAAAATCGGGCAGTTTCACCAAATGAAGCCCTTGAAATGCTTGATCCTCAAAAGGCCAAACACCTCCGAAGCCAAAGGCCGAAAAACTGGTTGGCGTTGCTCAAAACTGGTGACGTTCAAACACACCAACCAAAGGGGCTCACCAATTTGAGATGCACCCAACATTAAAACAAATGGAACAAAATATGAATGCAGTTCGAACATATTGTGGTGGCTGGACACTGGACCCGCCAAACTCGTGTCCGCTGGTCCATGAGAAAAAAAGACGACAAAACAACTTCCTTGCAAGAACATTACAATACTGGGCTGCCCTCAGATCCCCCGCTAAAAGTGAGTAACTTTTAGTGGGTTGAATGAAACCTACCACTAAACCCTAAAAGGATCTAACAAGCTAAGGGAATGGCTGGGAGCCACCAAGTGATGGACGACAAAGATCAACCCGAGCAATGGACCCCCCCCCCCCCGGGTTTTACGAGAAGCGGGAGCACCCGCAGGCCGGCACGATCGCCCGCCACCGCGGCGATGGGCCCCTCGTGGCCCTGCAGAGTGTGTTCCTCGGGTGTCAACGGGCGGGTGCTTTCGGGCCCCGTAGACGTGGGTGTGTGTGTGTGTGTCAAAACGTCCAACAACGGTTTTTGTGTTAGGTGTTCTCAACCAAGGTGAGGGGGCCATCAACAGACATAGCGGCATCAATTTCAAATAGGGGACCCTTTGGTGGACATGACTTCCGTGGGGATTCATCTTAGAACCGTCTGGTTCCGTGGAAGAAAGGAGGCATGCGGCTCCCAAATTTCTGGGCGAGTTGTAATTGATCAACCTGAAGTGAGAAATGGACCCCCGCAACTGCCCACCTGGACCAAAAAGCCAAGGACCGTTCTTCGGGTTCAACACGTGACACCCCAGCATTTGAAGGGATCCATGGATTCATGGTGGCACCCTCCCAAGTCACACCCCATTCACCCGAACCGAGTGGCGCAAACCCCGGTGCGGGCGTTCCAGACCTGTCAGGCTCGTCAATGAATGCCCCTTTCTGTGATACCAAAATCATTTTTTCTCCGGCCGGTTGACCATGCCCTGATGGTCAACACACACGCTGTTGTCTCACTTTCCCTTGAGCACACTTGGTGACAAAATATGGGTCTGAAACAATAGGTTGCGCATCTCTTGCCATGTCTTCGTGGGACAGATTTGTTTCCCAGGACAGCAAAGGTAAGCCGGAACCCCACCACTTGTCAACGATCAAACTCAACTTCTAATTTGTTTGGACCGCACCTCTGTAGACACCCCTGAGGACGGCCATGGGCGGCCACTTTCTCTTGATCCACACAAAGCTCCTACGCGAGCAAGCAGTTTTGGGAATCAATCACTTTGGTATCAAAGGGCCAAGCACTCTCCACACGCTGAAACCGTCAGTCATGAGCCTCGGATGAGGCTGCAAGTTCCGAGTGGTCAACTCAGAAGGAAGGGCTGTATCTTTCTCCGATCGATCCTGCTTCGTTTTGGGTGTTTGTCGGAAAGGAAAACAAAGTCTCACCGCCCGTCTTGAAGGTCTCCACTGGTGGAGACGCGCACTTGGAACCCAATGGCCACCGCCCAATGCTTCGCAAACAGCACAAGCCCTGAACATGAAATCCTTTGCTCCGACCCCTTCCTTTAAACCCCTTTCCCTTCTGCTTCCTTCCCCTGGTGCTTTCGCGCTGCTTTTTTTGTCTTGGTTTTTTTTGGGTTCTTCTTCGGGGGTCTGCAAGAGCTTTGAGCCACACCCAATTGAGCAGCTACAAGTTGCCGCGGGCGGGGCAGGATCGAGGCGGCCGAGAAACAAGCTTAAGCTTGCTCACTAAACCTAAGCTGAGTCCGAACTGCAATTCATCTCTAACAATACTCCGATCCAATCGTAGACTACAAGCACGGTTGTAGAGGTTTGTGTGGACTAACTGTAAACCCAATGAAACAATCGTTGGATCAATGACCGGGCGCCCGTAGACACCGCTGGACGCTTCAACGACTTCAAGCGACCTGCCCTTCTTGTTGTTCTTTCTTTTTCGCGAAGGTATGCGCGACTGCACAACTAGTTGGGGGTTGGGGTGTGTCTTTGCCAACCAACCAATCAACCGCGATTGAGCCCCAACCGGGGCTAGGACAAAAACGGTTCCATTGTTGGAGTTCAACCAAACCGACTCCCACCTTGGCGCTCTGGTCATGGGAGCCGGTAAGCACCTGCAGGAAGGTAGGGAATGCAGGGGTGAGGGGGCTGGGGGGGAGGGGGGAAGTTCAAGCAACAATTTCGCCAAATAAGTATTAAGTTCGCCAATAAAGAATGGAAGGAATGGAATGTAGAGAAAAGACACTCGCCAAGAGTACAAATCTGGCCCGTTTACCTCCTTCTCTCCCCTTAAGCTTCAGGGGCCCTTACTCCTCAGCTTCCATTTACCGTGGGAGGATATCGGAACTCACAATTTGACGGGTCCCGGCTGCATGTGTTCAAGGGAGCCGTTGTTTTTTTCCCCTGTTTTTCTTGTTTTTGTTTTTGTGCTGCGTACTTCGATCTTCTGCTCACCGCTCTCCCTGAAATGAGGAACCCATAACCTTCAACATTCTAGAGTACCTTCCCCATTCTTTCCAGGGATCCTTCTTTCTAGAAAACCTCCGGAAACCCAGGCAGAACGGCCGGTTTTTGGAAAGAACGATGCCTAGAATCATGCCCGGCAAAACTGCGCCCCATTTCGCACCGTGCCGTGGGGTCCCCGGCCGCGGAGAAAGAATGAGCCCCTTTAATGGGGAAATGGCTGCAAAAGGGTGAACCCCATCAACATTTGCCTCAAAATCCTTTTGTCAGATCACAACATCCCAAGAAGGCACTCTGGCAATCCGTTTGATAGAACATCGCACGAAACCTGTGATACCAAAGTGGGCTTATCACAGCTTGTCACCTTGAAATCCTGCATTGATCTTAGACCTCCAAAAAGTGAAGGCAGGATGTCCTTTTTACATGCGACACACCCCATGAGTCAAGACTTGTGGGTAATTGATCCTTGCCTGATCTTGCTGGCTTCATTACTTGCTGGTGCGATAGGTAGGGAATGTGGGAATGAACCCAGGCTTTGGTCGACTTAAAGAAGACCACCAGTTGGATGCTTAAGGGTCATTCCATTTCTCATTCCCTATAGCACCAGCAAGAATATGGGGTTGAACTCCCCCAAAGCAGACGTCCTCGCTTCTGTGCTGCTTTTGTACCATCCCCAAAAGGGCATTCGCCCGCGATTTCGCGGCATCCTCTAACTGGCTTCAAAATGAGAGGATGGGATGGTTTCATGGGGCTCATTCCATGCAATGCATCTCGCACCGACCGCTTCATGAAAGGTGGCCTTCTCGCCCGGCAGCCAGGCGACCGCACAGACGGGGGCCCTGGAGAAAAAAAACGAAATGGGGTCGGAGGGGCAACGGGTACCGGTTCCAGCTGCTTTGGGGTGGCTAAAAAACTCGGTGGTGCGAAATCGGCAGGGAATGAGAAGGAGAATGAGCTCGACCTAAACGATCCCCTATGGTTTCCTGTAAGAATCCCCAGGTTCATTCAACCACATTCCCTACTGAGCACCAGCACGTTGAACTTGGTTGCTGTAACGACCCCTCTGCAAAAAGTGTTCAACTTGTTGTGGGCCGATGGAAAATTCACAAAGGGTCCAAAGATCCAACCAAATAGCCATAAGGGAAAGTACAGCAACCCCCGTGGGTTTTCCCCACAAAACCAACCCCCAAAAAAGGGTTCCCTAAAAAAAGCACAGTCATGTTCCTTTTGGTCTTTCAAGGTTTCACTTGGTTACATCACCGTCTGGTGTTTAAAGGCTGGGAACCCCCGTGCGTACCTCAAATGGATCGCGGCAAGAAATGTCTTTGCTTGGTAAAACGTATGTGGACTCCCTAAATGTGCAAAACATGCGTCTTGCTGAGGAAAAAATGGACCCCTGAATCTTCAAAGGATTTCTTGCTTGATGGAAAACAGTGCAAGCGAGAGTTGTAGCCCAATAGAATCCGCCCCTGCCAGCTCAATCTGTGTGTTGGCCTAAGAAAGGCAGTGCGTATGTAGCAACCCACCAGTCCATTGCTAGATGGAAATCCAGGCTAGGCCCCTCATAGAAACCGCTCTCAAATAAACCCTTGCTTTCCATAGGAAGTTGCCCGATTCCTTTGCCTTTTCCACAGGTCTTGGTATGATGGAATTGTCCTCGTCGGAAGATTGCACGATCCAGAAGTGTTCGGCGACTTGGGCGTGCTTTTTTTTCTTCAGGGAACCACCAAAATAGTGGGCTTCCTTTGGGTTTCCCTGTATATAAACCAGACCCACACAGGGTGCCCTCAAAAACAACAAACACATGCTGCCGGAAACCCCGGTCAAATGGCCGTTGCGCCGATCAGGACAAAAGATGCCCCACGTTCAGGGCGGAAAGTGCTGCTTTTGGCTCCCTCAGTTAGAACCCATGGCGGGGCATCCCCACACAATCAGACAGCGTCGACCGAAGCGGGCCGGCAACCCGTCAAAGTGGGCTCAGATATGGCTGTGGGTCAAAACCAATGGTACCATTTTGGGGCAGGTGAGTTCACCACCCATTTTCGTCTGGGGATTGAATCGGATGTTCACTGGGGCTGCGATTTGGATTTTGACCCATGGCCATATTGCCAATCTACTGGATGGCCCCCCAAGTCGCTGAACTTATCTCTGTGTGAACTGATCCACCCGGAAGCGAACCACTCTTAGTGGCTTAAGATTCGGAAATCCCCAACCAACCAACCCCCCCCCCCCAAAAAAAAAAAAAAAAAAAAAAACAACCACAACACGCCTCAAAAACATGAAAAAAAACACACCACAAACGGTCGGGAACTGCCGGCGTTTCTGGGCTTCGGCGTTTTGCTTTCTTCGGCTTCGGCTTCCGCCTGTGCCCGCCCAGGATCAGGGACGGGAAGCTCAGGTTGCTGCCCGGCGCCTCCTGCGGCACCGGCGCGGGACGGTCCCTTTGGGGCGATTTGAGGCGGATGAGGGAGGGGAGGTGGGGGGACGGGGTGCTGGGGGGATGGGGGGATGGGGGAGGTTGGGTTGGGGGGAGAGGTAGTTGGAATCCTTGGAATGCTTGCTCAGTGGGGAGCGTGGAATGGAATGAAACCAGTGGTCCCCGAACAAAGGAAACCACCAGGTCACCCAGGCTTTGGTCAAGGAAACCGCCAGTTGGATGGTTTTTCTCGCGCCAGCAAGAATATGGGGTCGGCTCCATGAAACTCCCTCAAAGCGGACGTTTCGCTTCGGTGTTGCTATAAACGATCCCAAAAGAGCGATCCCGCAAAAACAGGAACATCATCACTCGACTTGGCAACGAGCTGATGCCTACAAACCCGCACCGGAATAGAGACCCGCCCAGAGTTCAAAACGCAGGGCGGTTTTGCGAGAAAAACGTTCAGGAAAGGGTACGTCTTCAAAGACTGTCGAAGAATCGCAGGAAGCACGCTATCGAAGGTTGTGAGAATGAGGCTGGTAGGTAAGCTCCCGTTTCAATGTGGAATCTGTTGGGAGAGGGACCTGTTTCTGTTTGGCCCCGCTTTGCTGCCTTTTCCGGGCCCACAAACCGCAAAGTAAACCCATAGGTCAAGAGGCAAGAGACCGGTTGGGGCTTGGAACAAAAAACTGGCTGGGGCTTGGAGAAGGTTGCGGAGGTTGGAACACCAAAACCCCCAGTGAAACGAAGCCGTCCGCATGTAAGATCCAACCGGCCTCTACATCCGAGCTGGTGTCGGGGACGCTGCCACCTGGCAGGCATCCGTCTAAAGCGGGGAACTCCAGGCCTCTCGAACCTAAGCGAAAAACCAAAACCGATCGGTATTGAAACCGAGCGGGCGGCCGCACCCATTGGTGGCTGTCACACTTCGCCATGTCTGTGAGAGGAGGAAAACTACTACTAGTTGTTTAGGCCCTTTTAGTACACACTTCCGAGGGGTTGTTTTCTCCGAGAAAAGGTCAAAAGATGCAATGCAACGGCAGCTACATTATAGTGCGAAACTTCCTGGATGTCTTGCGATCCGCACATTGATGACCAGCAAAGGCAAGGATAATTCCTCATAATGTCCACCTACCAACAAGAAACTGCCCCTAAATAAAGCTAAACTTCCCCAAATGCAATAATAAAGTACCCTAAATAAAGCTAAACTTTTATTCACCAAACAATCTGGAGGAAACAGCCATCTTCAAAAAGACTAGCAAAGAATAACACCGCGCCGTGGCTTCGAATGAATTTCACATTCCTCAGCTGACACACATAATTGTAATTCAGAGTCAGATGCATGGACCCTCACTCCACATGGACTTGGATTGGTTGTGACATTCAAAGAAAAACTGAATTCAGACTCGCACCCCTTGGAGGGCCAACCCACATCTTTAATCAGGGTCAATGGCCGGCCTGGCTAACCAAACCCGCATTCAAAAAAAACATGGGCCTTGGGTTTGCATGGGCTTCAACCCTTGGCCCCTTTGGAATGTGCATGAACTGTAATTCACCAGGCCTGCATTACATAAACATGTTTGCATGGTTTCAGCTCTTATCTTTATTCAGGGTCAACCTTGATTTTGCTTGGAATTTGCATGGATCGCAACCAGACCTGCTTACAAGTTCGCTGGCCGCGCCCTGCGCTGGCCGCGCCCCACGCCCGTGCGGGAAAACGAGCTCTGAACCCCGGCCCGGCTCCTCGAAACCGAAAACCCCGACCTAAACCGGTATGTGATGGCATCGCCCAGAAACAGCGAACAGGGTTTGCATCCAGATCCCACCGGCGGGCTCCGAACCGTTCCGGGAAAAAAAAAAAAAACGGCAAACGCCATGGGCTTTAGTCCCAGTCCTTTGGTTGACCAGCTTTGGTGCTCAGGCTGGGATCTATGTTTTCCAAAAAAAGTCTAAACCGTCTCGACCCTAACGTTTTTCCTTGCAAGATCATTCCGCCCGCCGAAAGGGGGGAGGGCGATTGCATTCTATCTAATCTTCTTTACACAGGGGGCATGAAGCCACAATTGGAGTTCGAGGGGGACACTCTAAGGGGGCGGGGATGAAGAAGAAGCGCTCCATGTTCTTCAGGTGCAAAGAAACAACATTTACTCATGCCATGGTCCCCTCGTTAAACCAAACGATCCATGCGTCAAACATAATTGATGTGGATTTCAGCCCAAGCTGCCAATAAAAGGAATTCGTCTTAATCAAATGAACGTGCTGAAGATCGGCCGGAGGGTACCATGAGGACCTCAATAAATTGGAATGAGGGTTGTGGGGGACTTAAACACGAATTCAAGTCATGATCCGAAACTGATGTGTATATATGTTTAAAAATATTAAAAAAAAAAATGCCCCTCATAGTATATCACCAGCCTTTCTTTTTGCCCCAAAAAAAAGCATCGCACTCGCCTGTGTGGATGAGTCCGCCGGGAGCCACACGGCCCTGGATTGGCCCGGCGAATTGCCAGGGGTTGGGGGTTCTTCTGTTGGCTTATGAGTAGTTATAACCTAGGTCACCAACAACTTCCTACCTTGGCGAATCGAACACCCAAGTAGAGGATGATTTTGAGGGTGTCACTTTAAGCTTTAATCTTGCTGGTGCGAAATCGGCGGGATTTCAAAGGAATGAACCCAGGCTTGGGTCCCCTTACAGGAAACCACCAGTTGGATGGTTTACAAGGGTCATTCCATTTCTCATTCCCTACTGAGCACCAGCAAGACATACACAGCAGCGGGAAGTGCTTGGTGGATTTCAGCACCCTCGCGCTGGCTGTGCCACTACTCCCCAGAAAAACATGGACCAAATCTGAGAGGATTTCAGCTACCGGTCTATACTACAAGGGCCAAACAGTAAAAAACAAGCGGGGTTGTGGGGTACCTCTGAACACAAGAGCAACATGCTAGTAACGTAGGGCCTCGCATTGACCTTAAAAACATCATCTGTTTTGTTCACCAACCCATGTGTCGGGCAAGGCGTGCTTTCTTGGGTAAACTCGTTTTGCACTCAGTCTCATCTCTTTCTCTTCGCCAACTCTTTTGGAGTTTTCAGGGATTCCCCTCGAGGTATGTGCCTTGAGCACGCACCCCCAGACCATGGAAAAAAGGAGGAACCCTGTTCTTTGCAAGAACTGTACTTCCCCAACAGCTGCTTCAGCAACGGGGGTCGTCGATAGGGCTTGCGACTTGCAGGGTTTTGAGAGGTTCCAGAGGTTCCGGGGCTCTTGGGGATACCACCTGGTGATTTGGTTGTTAAGTCTTCCGTTTGCTCAAGCGCCCTGGAAATGTGTAAATATGTCCAGTAGCCATAGAGTCCCTTTAATAAATGGAAAATATAAAATATTCCTTTCAGCAAATAGAAGAAAAGGGAACAAAAAAAACCTGCAAAAGGAGTTAAACGTCTAGAGGTCTCGAGCACTGTTCAAAACACACGCTTTGCTTCAGTCTCGCACGGAAGAGCCTGTTTTTTAGCGCCATGGCCTGTTCCCGATCGCTACCGCCAAATGTCCAGTGGACCATGGGAAGCTTGTAGATCACCAATCTAAGTTTGTGAGAGTGGTACTGTGGATGGACAAAATCCTGCACCACTTAAGAAACCCTGGAATGATGATTCCCCTGTAAATACCAACACACAACGGTGTCCAATACTGTCAAAGTGGCGCGGTCTCGGATTTCGCAACCATCCACAGTATGGTGGTACGGCTTAAATGAGTGGGAGTCCCGAAAAAATATCGGGTGTCCCGTTGGTCTTTCAACCCACTCCAAAGAGGCAACCACAAAGGAAGACAGACCCATGTCGGCTCCATGCCCAGAAGCTGAAACGTTTACGCCGGACATCTCCTTGTCACACTCAAAATGGGCCAAAACTTGGAATTTGTCTGTGTCACCACCGTCTTTTTCCGTGGTCTCCAGCCATTTGGTTGTTTTTTGGCTGATTTGTTTAAGTCTCAGAGGGCCTTCGGAAAGAAAACAAATAAATTTGCAGCCCCAAGAATGGCCAAGTCTCCGAAGAAGTAAAACGAAGCAACCAAGCAACAAAAGAAAATAGCTCAACACAAAGCAACTGCAAGAACCACAGCGCTGGCCCCCCCCCCACCCACCCACCCACCCACCCGCCCGCCCGCCCGCCCACCCACCCACCCACCCACCCACCCTCCCACAGCCGCGCCGCACACACACACACACAAACAGACACGCGCACGAATAAAGACACCACAGCCCCGCCCCCCCCCCCCCAACCCACCCAACGCATGGACAAAAAAAGAAACAAAACCAAGAAGAGTTGAAACCAACCCTCGGCTGCCACACCACCCCCTCCCCTCCCATCCCCCTCCCCGCCGCCATGGCCCACGGCGCAAATTCATGCCCGAGCCAGGCTGCGGTTCGGGGCTTTTGAAGGCAGCGATGCATTCGATCTTCGCGCGCGAACCCGTAAAGATGGGTTGGGGGAGTGTTGTTTGATCCTTTGCAGGTTGGTTTGAAGGAAACCAAAAGGACCGCCAACTTGAAATCGAGCCTATTTTGACGCGTGATTTCGGGTGATTTCGGGTTGCTTTCCTGCGTTTGAACATCCCCAAAGCCAAGAGGCGATGCTTCCAATATTGATTCAAAGTCGATGCAAACTCCTGCACCAGTTGATAGGTGGTTTATCCCTGTGATCGTGCGCTTCATCCATCTCAACTTGGTTGCCGTTGACCCCTCTGCAAAGAGTGTTCAGCTTTTTGTGGGTCCACCACGGCAAATCCCACCTGTTTCAACCAAAAAGTGATAGAGTCCAAAGATCCTTTGCCAAGTAGCCGCAAAGCCTTTTGGGAAGTTTGCATGTCCCAACCAACACAGCCATATAGGAGAAAAAAAAACCTTTGGGCCTTTTTGAGGGACGTAGAAAAACTGCCGCGCTCACAGCGAAGGCTTTCAGAAAGCCAACTGCAGGATTTGGTCCATGGCGGTCAAACCCAGTACAGGTGAACATCAAAATAGCTCGGTTGCGAACTCTGCGAAGCCCTGCTAAAGTCTAACTTTTAGTGGTTTAGTGGAAAACCCATTCGTTGGCAAAAAGTTAAAGTCCTAACAGCCAAGCAAAATGCACCAAAGAATAGGTAGTACATGGGTGTTCATCCGCCCCAAAATGGCTCGGCATAGGTGTTTGACCCATGGCCACATGGCTCTGAAACATATCATTGGCCCCCTGCCGCCGACCTTTTTGCTCCAGAGTCGGCCGGGAGCAGTTGGCACCACCAAGTCGCTTCGGAACGCCAGAAGCTCTGCTCTGACGATTCACGCAGCATGCACACCAACCGAATTTGAGTGACACGAAGAGGTCTGCGGCCAATTCCGTCCACGGAATGCTAAGTAGTGTACATGTGTCTATATGGTGTGCACATATATGTACAATATATAAATATAGATATTGTAACTGGCAATTCGGCAACTTCCCTTTGCGCTTTGGTGATGCGCCAGTGCAACAAATGACCCTTCTAAATTGAGGGCCTCAAGTCAAAAAGCTCCAAAAGCAGGCGCTCTAGTGTTTGCGGGTATCGAGCTAGTTGTCTTTTTTCCAGAATCCGAATTCACCAAAACTGGAGAAATCAGGAGTCTCCACGTAATGGAACTTCATGGGCGAAGTTGTTCTGGGTTATCACATAATGTTGGGGCAATCACCCATGTTTAAGGAGAATTTTGAGGGCGGAAGTCGTTTTACCCGCAGGTGAGCTTGCTATTTGTGCAGAGGTATCGAGATCCAAAGGTGTAGGGCTGGGCGCAAGGCTATGGGCGGAGATGAAGTCCCTGGATTCAACGTGGATTCATTGGGGAGCCTTCCCCTCCAAAAGCAAAGGATTCGCTCTATCTTGGAACAATGGAACACCCCCCTTCATCAACCAGGGCATTCCTATCTTGGGATCCCAATCGGGTTGACCCTTCACTGCTTCGACCGGCTTAGATTATTTAGGGCTCCAACTTCCCAACAACGAAAGCCTGAAAGCAAGACCGTCGCTAGCCGGAACCAGCGCTCACATAATACACATTGTTCGTACGAGCCTTTCACCTAAAAAATTGTGCTCGGGGCTGATGCCCGAAAGACCCCGTCGCAAAAACAAACAAACATTTTGCTGGGTTCGTCTGGTGAAAATGGCTCAGAGGAACCCATCCATGTCTAACCGTTCTTCATCAGATTCAACAAAATCACCTAATAATATACCTTGTGTCCAAAGCCGCGGAACTAACCAAACTCACCGATCAAACATTGAACACCTATGCCAGGCGCTACCTCACCACCGGTCGAACGCCACAAACTGGATTCCGACGGCCACGACCGTCGACCGAACTCCCGAGGCCCTAAGCCGATTCCGTCTTGGACGGGCTGCTAAATCAAGCCTGGCGTCCGCTCGAAACATCGGCGCGACGCTGTGCGAAGGCAGCTTCATCCCGTTGAGACAAATAGAGGGAGTCGCATTGCAGAGGGGGTCTTTCACTTTTGAAGGAACACCGAGTTGATGAATCATGGTTCGTCGACAAAACCACCAAGGGGCCGGGGGATAGAGTCTCAGGTCTTTCTTGGGATGGCAACCCAGGAAAGAAAAGACAACAGGCGGCATTTACCGTCCTTTGTGAATTAACGAGCAGTTTCCGCAGCTTTTCATTGCGAAAGAACCCTTTCTGCTGTGTTGTTTTTCCTTTTTTCGACAACCCATGAACACGGTGTCGTTCGGGAACCACATCATGGCCCAGGATGGCATAGACGATGCATGGGCCTGCTTCCTCAAGTGAGTCATAATCAAACCCCGGCATGAATCAATGAACATCATCTGCCCACCATGCGCTTTGTATCAAAAGGCCAGCGAAGGCACCCGTTTCCGGCCCAGAAAAAAAAAACTGGCGAACCTTATGACGGGCAAACCTCGGCAAACTATGAAACATAAGTTCAATCAAGAGTACTCAAAAAGTACACCATGAGATACAAACCTGAACACAAAAAGTCAGCCGCTAACCTTAACTTCCCAAGTCGTTTTTCCCCTAACGATCCAGTTTTTCCCTGAAACTAATCCCTTAACCTTCACTTCCCCGGGAATTTTGATTGAGCCCACGTCGGTTTTCTCCCAACGCCGCCCAGGTCGGGCGCCGTGCGCCTGCACCTCCCGGCCCCGCTCGGAGATGCCAGTGCTGGCACTGGCCACGCTGCCCTAGCCAGGAGCGCCGGCCGCGGGGCGAAAGAAAAAAGAAACGGTGGCTTGCAGAACACAACGCTTGGCTGGAACTAGGACCCCAGTAAAGAAAAAAGTGTGTGTGTGTGTGTGTGTTCCTTCAAAAACACAAAAAAAAGAAACATATTTGTTCCATGGTTAGTGGAAAACACAGGGGGAAAACAAAACATAGAAGGGGAACTCATTCTGGTGAAGAACACTGTGCCCAAGAAGTTTGCAGTAATGTTTGCACAGCAAGACCAGTCCGGCGAGATTCTGTGCGCCCCAGAGCTTTCTCAAAGTCATTCCCTAAGTGCTAGGTTAAACACAAGAGGGAGTGACGTTTTTTGGCTGGTTGGTTAATTTGCGTGCGTCCTTCTTGAAACAACCCTCAAAATGGTAGTGTTCCTTTTGGTGTCCCTTTAAAACCAGAAAAAATAGCGGATCCTAAAAAATGACATTCCCATTTGAACGGGACACCTCCTTTTCGAAAGCTGGAAAAGGGCCGTTTGTGCGCTTTGGAGGCAGGGTGACCCATCGAGGACCCATCAAAATAGTGCTACACCCAGGCTTTCGAGCTTGCAAACGCAGTGGTTGGGGGATTCTCTGTTCCACACGCAAACAAAGGTGACAAAGGTAACCTGTACCACCTTCTTTGCAGGGATGGACAATGCAGAAGGGAGCTGCGGAGCCAACAAGCATAGCAAGCCATCCCGCAATTGTTAACCCCCCCTCCAAAAGGAGGGGCCCCTTCAAAGCATCTATGTCAGTCTTACCCGCCAAAAAGCGGCACCGCTCATGTTTTTTCTTCGTTAAATATCACCAGGTCACGCACTCGCCAGCATGGCAACTTTGCGCGGCTTCAGGAAACCAGGTGCACCTTTGAATTCTTGACTTGCCCGGCATGCAAAAGGGCGTCTCCCGATGTGAGGCTTGCCGTCCCGATTTTGGACCCCCCTTGAGTTGTCCCCTGGGAAATCGGAGACAGAGCCAAGGGACCCGAAAGAGTCTTGGGACCAGTTTATACGGCTCTTTGCTTCACAAAGGGTGCGGATTTGTTCAAAAAAAAATCCACAAAAAAACCTAAAATAAATACCCCCTCCCTTCACAAATCCATTTGTAACCCATCCCTAACATTCATTTCTAACCCAAGGGAAGGATCGAGGATTGCCTTTCTATTACAACCCGGATAGGTTCCATAGGCGAGCGTCACAAGATTGGCAAACTTGCGCAGCACCTGGAAGTTAAGGTTGTCGGACTTTTGTCTACCAAAATGGTACCAGGATGAGTTCAGCATTGCTCTAACCCCTCACTTTCTGAGTTTATTGGCCCAAAGTCCAAACTTTATATACTTCAAAAGCGTTTCCTCTCCAGATAGCTGTTCCCATCTCTGTCTGCAGGAGAGTGACACTGAAATAATAACCTTGTTGGTGCTCATTAGGGAATCTGGGAATGAACCCAGGGGTCCCCTTAAGGGAAACCACCAGTTGGATGGTTTTTCTCTCGGGGTCCATGCAGAACTCTCATTCCCTGCATCTCTCGCACCACCAAGGAAAATCAGCTCGAACATGGAACCACCGGCGTCGACAAAAAGGCCGACTTCCCTATGGAACCGCCGAGTCCCGCACTGGCACCCCGCGCCAGTCAGGCGACACATCACCTCAGTGCGCCGAAGCGGTAGCTTTTGGAGGATGTTTTTTGGGGAAACCATCCGGCAAACCAAAGGAAACCTTGAGGAAGCCGAAAGGAAATTGCCCCTTGTTGTGGGAGGGGGGGGGAATGACATGAAGATCAACCAAGCTTGACCTGGAATTGAGAAACCCCCCTTTGTGTGTTGCAGAGTAGTATGGAAGGAGCCAACCAGATACCCTGTTTAGAGATTCTTTGAGCGGAGCGAGACCCCTCTCCCTGAAAAGGGGTGCCGTTGCTTCGAACACCTAAGCCACTTGTTTTGCCTGATGTTGTAGCACCTCTTCATTTGGAACTCTCGGATCGAATGAATATTGAGAAACACTTTGTTGGTTCGGAAGCCACGCTTCGAAACTATTTCAACACGTAGCTGGGCTGTCCTCAGATCCCCCGCTAAAAGTTTAACTTTCAGTGGGTTAAATGAAAACTACCACTAAACACTAAAAGGCTAAAAAGCTAAGGGGATGGCTGGAAGCCACAAAGGTAGAATATGGCAGTGTCTCAAGAGTCTTCATCGCCCCGTCGCCTCCATCTTTCTACTGACTAGGACAGCTAGCAAGCATTGTCAAACGTAAGGACTCCTGTCAATGTTGTTGGTGTCCTGCGTGCGTCCTTTTTGGCTTCCTTTTCGGTCTTTCGTTCTGGTGTCCTTTTGGTGTCCTTTCGCTCCTGTTTGGCCTCCTTCTAGAACATCCAAAAGCAGGTTCAAGCTGTTTTGCAATCATGTTTGACCGCATGCCAAAGTGGTCCCATGCTATTCCCGGGATCCCAGACCGTGGCTGCTGCCGCCGCAATCGCAACCTGCCATGCCAGAAGCAGCATGGGATGGAAGCTATTTCCCCGAACGAGTGTCAGCAATCGAACATGTTGCTCTGGCAAAAAACATAAAAAGATTGAACAAATAAAAATAACATAAAAATAAAAAAGTCCTGATTGGAGATGCCAAAATTTGGTAGTATGGGACTTAGTCCAATAAAAGTTTGGTAGTTTCCAAAAGAACTAAGTTCCAAACTACGCTCCCTGTTTGGAGAGCGGCTGGATAGCGGACATGCACTTGCTCTGTGTGCTCAGAGACAAGTGAGGGAGCACGATGTGGGTCATGTCAAAAAGCCCTGGTTAGACTGAGTGGGAGAGTCGTGAACTTTGGCTTCACCTGTGCTTCATCGCTGTCCATTCGACTGATATCTTGACAGCTTGCATTGCTGATCTCCTGCATCACTTCGACCAACCTCTGGGTATCTGGGGTCGTTTTCAGATCTGCAAAAAACAACTCGAAAAACCTTTGTGGAACCGAATGGCTGCTTGAACCACCTGGTTGCCAGACGTCTTGGAAAGGGGCCAATGGCTTGAGCCAAAACCGGTCTTTCTTACGGGCTGCCCATCCCATTGGAATGTTTGGGCAAACCGTGCAGAAGCCCACTGGAACTCAGGAACTCCGGATTCCCATGGCTCCACCGGCAGTGCAGACCGCGAGGTTCTGATTCTTTTCGGGATTCGGCCACTAACTCTAAAAGGAAACCAGAAGCAACCCCCGCCGGTTTTAATTTGGGACCCCTTTTCTTAGTTTCTCTTTGCGACCCTTTTATTCAGAGCCTGTGGGGATTTGTTGTTTTTCACCGCCCGGCCCGGCCCAGGCCTTCTTCCCGCACCTGCGACATGCCAGATATTTTTCCCAGGGACGGATGGCTGGGAAGCACCGAGGAAAAAAAATCGTCGTCAGCTCTTGGTTGACGTTGGAAGGGGAGCAAAAATGTAAATTTTAGCAGCTAAGTGGGGATTTCCCTCCAAACCACAATAAGCAAAAATGTAAAATGTTTCCCAACAACCATGAGCTGGTTGACTTGTCAACAAGCACTGTGGCCCCGCCCTTTCCTCGTTTGGGGTGCCAAGACTCTTTTGCGGCTAAAACCAAAAGAACTGCCCTCTAAAAAAACGCACATGCTTGGTGCACAAGCGAAGCAATTGTCCAGAAGAAAGTGGTTGTCTTCTGAAAGGGGTGGAACCGGCGCCAAACCACGTCTGATATGGACGATCCTTCAAAAGATTTGATGCTCCAGGTCAAGCACTGTGGAGTCAAAGTCAGATCAGTGTGGGCATACCAAAATACCCCCAACTTGGCCATTCTCTTGCTGGTCCCTTGCAACACCCGCCGAGCAATCCCCAAGTTGCATCCAGGGCCAGAAAGCCTCATTCAAAGCTCAAACCTCCTCAGTCGGCAGGGCTCAAAGGAGAACATGAGAAAAGCCGCCCAACAGTGCCCACTAAGACAGAAAAACACATCTCACCCAAGACCTTTTTGGTAAATGGCTCATAAACCCCACCTAAGCCGGTGCAACCCGTCTACTTCTATCGATCTAAAATTGAACACTTCTGGGCCATGAGTAGCGACAAAACAGGAAAAAGGACAACTAACGCCAACCGAAACCCTATGACCTGGGCTGGATTTCGGACCCCAGCAAAGCACAATTAGTTGTTTCCTGGTTCGTGGAAACAAAGGGACCCCCGAAAGAAAAAACAGCGGAATATCCGCAAAACACCATACATTGTTGCCTGGTGAGTGCCAAAAAACAATCCCAGAAAACCCCCCAAAAAGAAGCGCAAAGAAATCCAAAAGTTGGGAGCTGATTTCCTGGGGACCCCCCCCCCAAAAAAAAAAAACGCAAAGAAATCCGCTGATTCCCTGGAGAGACGCGATCTCCACCCCCACCGACATGTCCAGCTTCCGTCTCCGGGCCTCGAGGTGCGCCTCCCTGGCGAGCGAAAGAGAGAAACATGCGGTGCTTGTGTTAAATAGGCCATGGTATGGAGGAACGGTTAGCTTCTCGTTTGTTTTTAGATAATAAAATGAAACAAATATATATATATATATATATAAAGTGGGAGAGGCCATCAGGGGGACGAGACCTTCCGAGTTCCCCGAGCCGTTTTGTTCTTCTTCTTTTTGGTTCTTCTGAAAATAGAAAACAAACAATTACACCAGCCTCGACCCCAAACAGCAAAAACGCATGACCGGAATCGGCGTCGCACTTTCCTATTCTCTATACCTCAAGTTAGAACCCCAATGCTTCGCTGTTTGGGGAAAAATCAGAGTTGTTGTGCTTTAAAAAAAAGAGCCGCACTTTGGAGGCCTTCCTCTTGGTGCTCTTTTGAAGGCCAGCCTGGTTTCGTTTCACCAAACACCCAACCCTGAGAGGCATCCGGGACGTTTTCTGGAGTTGTTTGCCGGTGCTTGCAGGTGTGTCTCTCGTTCCGAGGCCGGAAAACTCTGCCAAGCCGCCTCAAGGGACTGGCACCTTGCAACAAAACAAAGTAATGTTGCGGGAAACAATCTGGGCTGTCCGTTTTCAGATCCCCCGCTCACAGTGACTAACTTTTAGTGGGTCAAATGGAAAACCCCACTAAAGGCTAAAAGGATCTAAAAAGCTAAGGAACAGGATGGCTGGGAGCCACCAAGCAATCCAATCAAGGGATTGTTGGCTGATTTTCTTCGGGCATGCCCAGTGGAAATCCTTCCCAAGTGGGTGACACCTTCCAAAGCGGATAGCTACGACGTTCCGGGGACCAACGGAAGCCAGGAAATGGAAGGCACGGGAAATTTGAGAACTTCCGGTTCTGGAACTAAGCATACTGTGGATGGTTGCGAAATCCGAGACCGCACCACTTTGAAACCGTGGTTGAATCCGTGACGTTTGTTGATATTTACAGGGGAAGCGAATCATTTCAGGGTTTCTTAGGTGGTGCGAAATGGATTTCGTCCATCCGCAGTAGCTCTCGCTCAGTTGAAATGCGTGCGGCACGCACTCGTGAAGAAGCCATGGAACAGCTGGGGAACAGAAGCGGGCAGACAACTTGCTACCGAGGGAGTGAGAAATGGAATGACCCCCTACCATCCCCGATTTGGTTCCTTTAAGGGGACCCCCAAACGGTTCATTCTCATGAGCACCAGCAAGCCTCATGACGGGCTCGTGGGCTTGGAGAGGGCGCGTTGGGTGCGCGTTGGCTCGAGTTAAGACTTCGCTTCGCTCGCAAGCCTCGGACTTTCGGCGGGTGGGCCTTAAGCAGCTCGGGGCGTTAAAGGCTTAAAAACTTTGCTCGCGGAAGCAGAGGCGCAGGCTTTCGGGGGGGTGGGCTCGAACAAAGGGGTGTTCTGTTGCATGTGTTCATTTGCGTGGGCTGGAGAAAGAGGGAGAGAGAGAGAGGAAGAAGAGAATGAGCAAAAAGAGAAAGATGAATAGAAAGAAACAAATAAAATTAAAGAGACCCCGAAAGCGGCCAGCGAAAACAGAAAGAGACAGAGACAGAGTGAAACAAAGAGAAAGAGAAACAAAGAGAAACAAAGAGACAAACGAAAGAGAAACAGGAAGGGAAAGACAAAAAAGAGATAGTCAGATAGAGATTGAAGAAAAAGGGAAGGAGAAAGAGGAAGAGAAGGGGAAAAGAAGCGCGCTCCAAACTTCGTCTTACTTTCTTGAAACTTCCGCCTTCCGGGCAGAACCGCAGGGCAGGCAAGAAGCTTGCTGGAAAATTGGTGTGAGACTCAACTGTTCCATTCTTTATGGGACTGTCTCAAGGGCAACGCCAACAAGGAACGCGCGTTGGTTTCTTGTTTCTTAAAATTGGTACCCAACATTCTAGGGGTGGATTCCCCATTCTTTTCAACCATCGTTCTTTTCAACAGCCGATCGCCATTTCCCTGGGTTTCAAGGGAGGTTTTCTAGATTCGGATCCCGCAGAATGGAAATGGAAGGTATCCCTAGAAACATAGCTTGGCCTGGCTTCCTGGAGCCTGACAAACTTTGACTCCCATGAACCCGGCCACCCTGAAGGACTTGCCCGAAACGGGCCTTGGAGCCTGAGCTCATTGGTAAAAAGTTGCAGCCCATTTCAGCCCGCCCCCCTTCAGTAGATGCCAAGAAAAGCATGTCCTGATTGTTTTCTTGGGATTTTTGTTTGGTCACCTTCGATTCCTGCATGCACCCCACTCTGGGTCTGTTGGCTGTGGGTCAAATAGGGTAACCCCAAAATGGGTTGCCCTGGTAGATGGAAACATGGACTAAAACCTGCGGTCCCTTTGTGGTTTAATTTTGACCCATACCCAGTTGTTTTTCGTAAGGCACCATGTTGGTTGGCTCCCCGAAAATCAGACGAGCGCGGGCCTTCCGTCCGGACCTTCTGGAGAGCTGGCCTGCTGCGAGCCTCGCAAAAATGGAGCTACGCCAAGCGGAAGCCCAGCTGGGCGTTGCCTTCAACCTTGGGTGTGGGTTTTGTTGGGGGTACAACTCAAAAAGGATGCTCGGAACAAATGAGAAGCGCCCCACGATGCGGGCCTTGCCTCAAAAACTGGGATCTGGCCCTCCCAAGATGGGTGGCTCATCTTTTTTTTTCGAGCTACCCAATTTTTGTATAGGGTTTTACAAGGAAACCAAAAGGAAAACCACCCTTTTTAGGGGGTCCCGAAAAAAGAGACACGCCCACCCAAGGGGTGCGGGTTTTTCAAGGCCAAAAAGGGCGATGAAAATAGATGAACTCACTGTGGAAAATGGGGCCGTGCTGTGTGATAGCGTAGTACACTGAAAAGGACATTTCGTGGGTATGGCAGAAGGTGGCTCTCAATCTGCGGCTCTAAGTGTTTCGAACCCAGGCCGGAGAAAAACAAAAAAAGTCCACCACCGTACACATGGAAAATCGCCAGGTGTGAAACCGCCTTTTCCAGGAACACCCCCTTTATTTGGAATAAAACCTTGTATACATGGGGAGAAGTCCAAAACAATTATGGACCCCTTCACAGGGAATATGTTTTATATACATGGGGAGTGGTCCAAAAAAATAAAGGACCCCTTCACATGACGAGATTTCCAGGTCCCCATCGCGGACGCCTTTCACGCGGAAAAGCGACGACCCGACGCCTGCGATAGAGTCCTTCTCAAAGCTCGCCGTGGAGGGTGTGGCCTCCTGATCCGCGAGACCCCGCGAAAACCGAGCAGAACTGGTTCATAGGCTCATTCCATTTCTCATTCCATGCTGACAGCCAGCAAGAAATGTAATGCATCTATGAGGCTGGGGGCCCTCCAGAGTGATGAAGAGTGGCTTATATCGGGGTGTGTTCTTTCCCTCCCAGCGTGCCACACGTCACCCAAAAACACACCCCTATTAATAGATTTGCGGGTGGGGGTGGGGGTGGGGTGATTCATATGGGATCAACCTTCCCAATATACACATGCACCTTGATTATTTGTCTCGCTCCCTCTCGCTCTCTCTGTCTCTCTCTCTCTCTCTCTCTGTTTCTACATATATATATATATATATGTGAGATATATACATATATAGATATGTGAGATATATATATATATAATGTGTACATATATATATATACATATGCATATGTCATTGATAGTGAGCCAGGGAGGCAGACAAAGATACATTCATATACATATCAATTCATTGGTGTATCTATTTGCCTATCTTGTGTTTTATCAAATTGTCCATTTATTCATGTGTATGTACTGACACTGAGCCGCCCCCCTTTGGATGTGTTGTTTCAACAAAAACCAGAAGGACACCGACAAGTCTTTGTGTGTTTCAGATATGCATATGTATATATATATACATATATATATATATATATATGTATAGGTGTGTGTTGCTTATTGGTTTGAGTATGTCTGTGAAATATATGCATGCCGCATACATTCAATTGACGACTGACAAGTGGACTACCTTTGGGCCTGCGTTCTTCAAGCAAAATATGTTTTGGCATGTCTTTGTAAATGTGGTTTCTGCCAATTTCACAAGCAGCAGAATGCTACCAGCACCTGCAAAGTTCGAACCGAGATTTCGCATAGCAAGCTGGCGCGCTGCTGTGGCCCGAATCCGAGGAATAATACTATCTGGGCATGATGTGTGTGTGTGTGTGCGTGCATGTTCTTTTGAGGTTGCTTTGTTGGGTCATGGCACACCACCCCCCCCCCCCGCTTTTGGCTTCCTAGGCAGAGACACAGCGTGACCCGTTTGCGAAACGGTCAGCTTTCACCCTGTAAACAGCTCTACATGCCCAGTGCTTCTACGTCGGTGACCAGAGAGCTTCAAAGAACATCCGTTTACTCGAATATATCGGCACGTGGGTGTGTCAGTTCGGGAAATCTCCGACTCGCAATGTTTCAGACCCTCTCATGAAGAAATGACGCCTTTGCTGAAAACCAGATTCACTCCTTGCCAATCTCAGGGAAATGGGCCGCAAACCGCAAGCAGAAGCCGGGACCCCTGTAGATGTTTTTGAGGTAGAGGATTGATGTTGAACCAGACTTGCAAAACTGACCAAAGCACGCCTGCAGGCGCCCGATTGAACCTTCTTGTCATGCCTGGAAGAGGCCGTGTTGTTTTTGTTGCTGAAAAGCCACAGAGTTGGAGGTGAGAGAGGCGTGAAGCAGATCGACTACTTGCCGATTAGCGAGGCTTCATCATCAGATTTTCTCAGAACATGGGGAAACTCCGGACTGGCCCTTCATTCATGTTCGGTCCCACAAAAGGAAATACAAGGGCATGGTCAAATCGTTGGAGTTGGACGACCCATGGATGAACCGGCTGTCCTGTTGTTGTCTTTTAACACCAAGAAATGGAAACTAAAAGAGGACAGCTCTGGTCTCTAATAATATATATATAGAGAAGAAAAAAAAAGAAAGAACAGATTCGCGCCAATTTCGCGCAGGGGAGGGAATTGGGGGGGGGGGGGGGGGAAAAGGTGCCACTTCCCCTGGAAATCGGCAGCCCGCGCCTCGGGAAACTTGGCATCTCGGAAGTCCATGTCCTGCGTTCGACGTTTCCCGATCCCGTGGCGGGTGTCTTGGGTTAAGGCCCCAGGAAAAAAAGAGAACATATGTGCAGTGGTGAATTCCTTTTAAAACCAACAAAGGACATATATACATATATATAATATATATATTTTTAAAAAAAAATGAGCAAATGGAGGTTATTGGATTCCCCCACCCCCTTTTGGGGGTTGTTTCAAATAGGAAACCCAAAGAAAAACCGAAGCCAATGTAGGGGGGAGAGCCACCCATTCGAGAACCCTTCGAAATCTTCACTTGGTCCACCAGCCAGTTTTTTGAGGCTCGGTACCCCTCTTGGGTTTGGTCTTGGAAACAAAAAACAACCAGGAGATGTCCATATTATACATACATATATATATATACACACACATACATATTCTTGGGAAGGGATTCCCACAAAAAGACGAGCCACCCGTCTATGGATGAGCACCAGCCAAGAACAACGGGCATAACTTCAAAATGACGAGCCAGCCATTTAGTTTTTCCGGTTGGCAAATGTTTTGCGGAGTCCTGAGACGGCCTTCGCTTCGGCCTGCGAGCGATGGGACAAAACCCTTCAAGGCTCCGAGCAAAGCAAAGCGAAGAGGGGGTCATGCAGGCCCGGTGTTATTTGAGCTCATCGAAACGACTGGACCATGGCTACTAATCGAAGGAAAACGTGGCTGAAAGGATCCACACAACCGAAACAGTACAGGTGGCAAACTCGGAACCCACTGCGACAGTTCATCCGGGCTTCTTGTTCTTCTGCGCAAACTGCGGTCTGGCTGTGTCTGACACGTCTTTTTAATTGTGTCACACACTGAAACTTGGGTGTGCCCTTAATTTGCTACAAAAGTTAGCTCGTGGGCAAACAATCATTTTCCGAAATAGGGTTGCTCACAAAAGTTGGGGGGGGAGGGCTGAGGGGCAAAATCAGACCAACACATGAGCCATGGTCAAAAGTCCTTTTCTGGCCGATAATCATGCTTACTTTGATACAAGTCATCCTACTGGTTATTAAGGATCCTTACACCAGGTGGTTGGCCATCCTGTTAACCCAAGTAAACCCCGGTAAAGGGCCCCGACACCCTTCCGGAGAAGGTCGGGGGAATTCTCTGGGCGACAGCACATCAACCATGGCGTTTAGGGGGTTGACTGAAGGCTATCTGGGTGGCTGGTCCTTTTTTGAGTCGGGCCCATTCAAGAAAAAAACACACACCATTTTCGGGGTGACCCTATTTCCTATTTAGAGACGCCCATCCTTCCAACTTTGGGACCATGGCAATCTCAGTGGACCTTTCTATGAGCGGAAGTCGTGGAGCCAGCAGGGATCAGCAGTTCACGGCATGCAGCACCGCAAATGGACGAGGGAAGTAGAGAAAAACGGGCGAAGTCCATTTCACATCCCCATTCCAGAAACCCAGTTTCTGATGATTCAAAGCTGCAAACACCGTTGTGGACTCAACTCAACGGTTTCAACTGTTCCTTGGCTGCCCTCAGATCCCCCGCTAAAAGTGACTAACTTTTAGTGGGCAAAATGAAAGCTACCACTACGCACCAAAAGGCCCAAAAGCCAAGGGGATGGATGGCTGGGAGCCACCAAGTTTCGTGGCGCGAGCGGATGACTCGCAACCAGGACGCGACGATCGGCAGGAAGCCAGGCTCCAGGCCTGTGTTCCGCCTCCTAAGGAACCGGGCGCCGGAGGATGCGGGAAGAAGTATCTACATTTGGCCATGGGTCAAAATCCCGCACCCCCAGTGAACATCCCAATCCCCACTCAAGTAGACTAAAATGGGTGGTGCACCTACCCGAAAATGGTACCATTGGCTTTGACCCACAGCTATTTGACATAAAATGCCGTGGATGCTTCATGGGTACGCTCCTTTCCAGAGCACCTGTGGGAGGGTACCTGGAAGATCATGTTCCTCTTGTAGGGACTCCCTGTCAGGTGCCATGTTAGTGGGAATGAGGGTATGTATTTTTCTATTTAGGGACCCTTTGGTGAACATCATTTAGGTGGGGATTTGTGTCCCCCAACCACTTTGCAGGGGGTGCCCCATGATTATTAATACTTAAAACCACATACCCACACAGATACACAAATAAGAATGCTATCTAAGAATTCATGATTACTAAGTTTGGCCTCATGCGGTTTACGGTACTCATGGAACGACGCAGTCAACAGCGTTCAATCGGTGCGGCGAATCAACATGATCCATTCCCTGGCGGAGGTTTCCAAGTTCCTCAGTGGGGTGGGCTCGGATAAGTCGCAAGCCGAAAGTGTGCGATCCTTGTGGTTTTGTCAGATGGGTCTCCTAGATCGCGCGGGTGCTTTCTCTCCATTACGGTTCCAACTAGACATCCAGCCTGTATACGTCACCCCACCAAGAACAAATGGCAACCCAAACAAAGGTCGCAAACCAAAACACCTATTGTGAGGTTGTGACTCAAAAAGCAAAAATCTTGACCAGGACCACTCAGGGCACACATTCTTCCAGGAGTCCACCCCAAACCCTCGGAAAAGTGGAATACAAGTCACCCAAACGCTAGGAAAGGAATTCCCCCCCCCCCCGACAAAACATGGGATCCGCCCAAATTTGACACTTCCCAAAATCGCAAAGACCACTGCAAATGCCTGCGACTTCTGAAAACTGGTGAGATTCAGGGAGAGGGAGGGTACCATAATATATATATATATATATCCATATCTTCGTCGGCCCTTTCTGTGCTCAAAAATCGGCAATCCAAGGCTGCGACCAGCTGCTCCTCCCGCGGAACAGTGCGCTCCTGGCGCGCGAAATTTCTGCGGCAAGGGGAGTGCTGCCGGCAACTTACCTCTTGGTCTTCTTAGAGTCGTTGTTTTTGAACGCAAACGTGAAAATGCAGGCGCACGCACACGCACACGCACATGCGCCCGCACGCCCGCACACGCACGTGCACGCGCACGCCCGCACGCCCGCACGCCCACTTGCCCGCACTCCCACCCACCCACCCACCCACCCACCCACCCACCCACCCACCCACCCACCCACCCACACACACACACAAGTCAAATACCGCGCACCAACAACGGAGACACAAGCAAACCGCGTAACAACTAAGCAACACAATGGACGGAAAAGCGAGGTCTTGGTGCGCATTGCTATTTCTTTGTTGCGTTGTCTTGTGTTGTGTGTGTGTGGCGGTTGCTGTCAAAGCGGGAAAACCAAAAGGTCAATTTGCTTTGGACCAGTGAGACAAGGCTTTTACGAAAAAGGTTGCAAAAACTCCAAAGCCAGCCGCAAGTCACAATGAAACAGGAACCTTTCTTCGAAGCCCCAGGGCAAGCTCTCGATAAGGGATTCCCAAGATAGGTGTCCTTTGGGAGAAATGGATGGCACTGGTAAATGACTAACAACAACCTGCAACCAGCGCCATCTATATGACTCCAAATGTCAAAAACAAAAAAATGCAAAAGCTGCAAAAGCCGCAAACCATATCACAAACCAAAAGGAAGCGATTCCACTTTGGACGAAGGAGCCATGCTCAAGAGGTCCAACAATCCGAGCATCGCGCAGAGCATCGCGCCATGCGAAAAGGAAAGCCGCGAGACCCCGAGCCGAGCCTCCACTGGCAAGCTCGGCTCAGCTTTCAAAGGGCCTCGAGGCTGGATGAAGACGCCGTGCGTCAAACCGGCCACGAAATTGAAGCAGCGGAAACCAAAGAAAACCTCAAACAGGGGGGTGCCCCCAAAACAGGTTCCCCGAAAAGATGATCAGAGTCGATGTCTCGGGAAAAACTGAGGAAGGTGGTTACAACACAAATGTTGACAGAGGTTGCTCTGTGAATAGTACATAGTGAGTCTTCCAATCTAAAAGCCAACTCTCAATCAACTCTCAACCAACCCCAAACCAACCCGCAAACCAACCCTAAACCTAAGCCGACCCCCACACCCAACTCTTTTCGGGTCGATTTGAATTTTGGGGGACCCCAAAAAGGTGGTTCCACTGTTCCACCCTACAAAACGACACACCCCCTCACTCAAACACCATCGTGTTTCATCTTGCTCGGCGAGTGCCGCAAGGCAACAGGCCACTTGGCATTGGCAACGGGGGCACCGAACCCTGAGACTCCATCTCCTGGAGTCTCCCCTTTGGGGGACTCCTATGGCAGCTCGACCCCAGATACTACAGGATGAGGTGCTCTTTTGTCCATAAAAATCGCCGCGTCTAAACCAATCCGAAGACCGAAGACAAATTCCCAACCATGGAACCCAAAGAAATCACCCTGGTTTGCCCCGACAAACCATCCCTCAAAAAAAACACACCCAAGATTAGGTGCTCTTTTGAGCCTCAGACACCCATGGGATTTTCTGACATGACTCGAAAGTGCCAAAGGCCCCCGGCACGCCGCTTCGTCCGCGCACCTCGCAGTAATTTCAAAAAAATCGAGCCACTCGGGGCTTCTCGGGCTTGCGACATGGCGATTTGGTGAAAATGAAGACTTGCGCTCTATGAGGATGGTTGCGAAATCCATTTCGCACCACTTGGAAACCATGGTTGAAACCAGAACGCTTCTTGGTATTTTCAGGGGATTCATCAGAAACCAGGGTTTCTTAGGTGGTGCAGGATTTCGTCCATCCACAGTACAAGTATGAGGACACTCGTATTTCTACATATACTTGGTTGACGTTGGGTTAGGGGAGCAAAAGTTTATTCTCAAATTTTAGCAGTTCAGTGGGGATTTCCCACCAAACCACAATAAGCAAACCAGTGCTTCCCAACAACAACAATGCATATATATATATAGCTATACATACATATTTGTAAGTGCACAACTTCAGTGACACTGGATGCGGTTTATCCATGTACGCCGTGTTCGCTTCGCCAGATGGCTTGGGTGAGAGTTCAAACCCTCGAAGAAGAATGGGAAGAGAGAAACCGTCTCAGGGATTCAGAGAGGTGGCTCCAGACTTCAAAAGGCCCCATTCCAGATATGGCTTGGTCTCAAAGTAGGAATCGAACTCTCCAAGATGGCTTCGGCTTCTTGTTGGTTTCATATTGACTCCACCAAACTTCGGTACCCTCAAAAAAACACCCCCATCCCCCCCCATATATCCTTCTTTCCAAGGAAAACCAAAAGAAACACCGCGGGAAGGGATCGCGGAGCTCAACCTCGCGCACACCCAAAACCTCGCTGCCGAAAGGGGGCACCGAAGTCATCGACCTAAAACTTCGCAGTTAGTTCGGCTTGGGCTTCCCTGTTTAGCTTTGGGCTAGGTTAAGGTTAGGGTTGCGTTTCCAACACAGGGGTTGTTCTAGATTGAACCATCCTGCTATATGGCAAGAAGGATGATGTAAGAGTTGCAGAATGGACATCTTACACCAAGCCCTCCCCATTTGGCAGGTGTTCGTTGTGTCCTTTCATTTTCCCTCCCGCTCGTTTCAGGAGCCTTCAAGCCTGGGCTCCCGAAGGCGCTTCAATTCGAGGGCACTCGAAGAAGAAAACAAAGTTTAGGGAGCACTCGCATTTCGGGGGGGGTCCGGACCCATTTGAAAACAAGGCTCGCCCAAAAAGACTGGACGCCTTTTTGTCCAAACGCGCAAGAGAAGATCCATTTGGCCATGGGGCATCACCTATGGCGCTCCGATTTTGGGGTGGATGAACATCCGTTTGCCACCGATTTTGATGTTCACCAGGGGTTTCCTGGGTCACAAGACCCACAGCCATTTCAGACTCAGCGCAACTCCAGGCCAGCGGGCGCCGGCAAGGACATGCCTGGGCCGCCCCCAGTTCGTCGGAGGCCGTGGACGGCGGACACATCATGCTAACCCCATAGTAAACAGTCCCGCTTTTTTAGTAGGGGGGTGTCAGCCTTGGTGGAATGTGGGGAAAATCATAACACTTTTGGGGGGGGGGGCCCAACCCCCTTTAATAAGCTGGGGTTTACGTGCAGGAGATCATGTATGATCCAGGACATGCTGGTTGGTGGGAGGGTAGAACCAGCCTGTGTCAAACAGCGAATGGACACATTGAGCGAACGGCCACATTCCCCTTGTTTGTGGCTGAGTGAAGGTGATGAAACCAACATGGAGGAACTGTGCCATGGCCTACTTGCACCAAACAGTATCGTGTTCTCCCCAGTTGAAAGCATGGGAAAGCTCTGCCCAAACAAGCTCCGGCGATTGAAGTTGGACTAGGGTTCCGGAGATGTTCCAGTTCCTCTGTTGGGCATACCTGGGCTTGTGCATTTGGACTCCGCAACGAGAGAGGCGTGTACATACCCTTCTGTCTTCGTATGTCTTGGGGTTTCTTGGCTGTCTTTATAACGGTGCTTGGGCATGGGGCGAGGGGTTTGGTGCTTTCAACCTGGCACCTGCCGGCACGAGTGGGGAGTTTTTTTTGACTCCAGGAAGTGCTTGATGGGCATCCCATCCCAACACGTTTGGGCTTGGAGTCTGGAGAAAACCACATATTTCAGGGTGGGGGTTTGGAGTTGGTACCCTTTTCAGGTTAAAGGGAAACCCATTCAGAACACAGTGAGGCTCCTAACGTTTGGAACTTTAGTGGGATTCCCATCGTGGGTTTTGAGACTAGGTCCTCCAGCAGAGAGGTTAGAATAAGGGTACCCACTTTTTGCTGTGGTCTATTTTAGTAGGGGAGCCCGGGCACTACTAAAAGACCTGGGAGAGGAAACCATTTCACAGACAATTTGGAAGGGATTCCTGCTGCCAGACTCCGATTTGTTTTTCGTTGTTTTTTGGTTTTTTCTTTTTCTTTTTTTCTCGAAATCCTTGAGGTCCAACCAAAACAAGCAAGGCCAGACTCAAGAGCATGCCTCAAGTCCCGTGGCCATCCGAAAACGCACCCAGCCAGCATTTCCCAAGCTGGTCTTTCCCATCGAAAGTCGAACCGCTTGCCGGTGAGTGGAGAATCGACATTTTCCAAACAGGCAAAAGAGCTTGCGCGTGCAGTGCACTTACAGACTGCAAATGGTTCAGAGCCAAGCCTAAGTGCAAAAAAAAACCACAAACTAAAACAGCTAACCAATAACAACATGGCCATGGGTCAAAATCCCGTACCCCCAGTGAACATCCCAATCCCCAGTAAAATAGGTTCTAAAATGGGTGGTGAATTCACCTAGCCCAAAATGGGATCCCATTGGTTTTGACTCCCACAGCCACACCAGGCTGCCTTGGCCTTTGGGCCTTTTTTTGACGCAGGCCGCGCAGAAACCCCAGCGCAGCGGTTGCTGTCTGGGCCACCCCGGCTGTGGCCCAACCTCGGCGAAGCCGATCTTTGGACTCCGCGGACTGTTTGGGACTAGAAGGACTGGGTGGCGGGTCTTCTCTTTGGAGGAGAGCGCCAAATGGGAGCGGAAAAATATTGGCCACTGAGAGCGGAAAACTGGACGCAACTTACAGCGGAAACCCTCTTTTCCGCTCTTAGTCTCTAACTTTCCGTTCTTAGTTTGAACACTTTTTGGAGTTTGTACCCCTTTTTTGGGTGGTTGTCAAGGGAAACCAAAAGGAAACCCACCATTCCAACCTTACAAAAGACACACCCGACTCTTTTATGGTCTTTTAAATGGTTTCCCCCAGCCAAAAGAGAAGGACAAAAGGGGTCAATTTTGTACGTGGGAAGCTTTTTATTGCTAGGACTAGACTTTCAAAGGGAGAATTGACGGGTTCAACCGTATTCCACCCATACGGTATGTTCTGCGCACGTCTTGGCCGTTCAAAATGTAAACCACTTTAGCTTCCATCGGGAAGCCACAAGGGACAGAAAAGCCATGTATAGGTTTGCCTGACAACAACCCAAGTGGCTGTTGGGTTTCCCCCTCAAAAACCCCACCAGCAACTTGCTGGCTCTCAGCAAGGAAATGAGAAATGAAACGACCCCAATAACCCATCCTATTGGGTGTCCTTCATTCGGGAATCTAATTCCAAAACCGGTTCATTCCACCAAAACCCGGAAACCGGAGGGTCATTCCCTACCCATCGCACCAGCAAGACACAGGGTTCCGTGTTTTTTTCTGACTACCTTGGGGTAGACTGAAGCCCAGCGTTTCCGTTTCTCTTGTGGGGAACTCCAACCAGCCCTGGGCTTATGTCTTCCCACACCCCCACCCCCACCCCCACACCCCACCCCCACACCCACCCCCACACACACACACACACACACCCACCCCTTGGGGTTGTCCTAAACCACGGAACCCTGAGACACCCACCCCCCACAGCGCTCGTCTCCGAGCTCGCGGCTCCAGCCACTCAGAGGCGGAGTGGGAAGCCTGGGAAAGCCGCCGCTCCTTGGGGAGAGGGGGCGAGCTGGGGAGGGGCTATGGCTTGTTAACCCGCCTTATTAAGGCCTTCTTCAGGGCTTATCAACTTGGCTTATCCCAGGCCCTCTTAGGCGTCCACGTTTTGGTGCGACAGAAGGTTTTCAAAGAATGCCAAAGGCGTCTGTGTTTTGTGGAACCCCTTGTTTGGGGTGTGCTTCTGGTGGTCGGGGAAAGCAACCCTTTCTGCGACCTGGGATTGTCGTCGCCCTTGGTGTCACAGAAAAGGCTTAAGACCAAAGCACTGCACAAAACCCCTACCCCAGCGAAGGCTCGTGCGAACTCGATTGGGAGAATGCTCGGATTTGCTCCACTATCAAGAATGAAATTTGTCTCCAATCCAATGAACTTTCCTCCTTGAACAGCGCTGATTGCACACATGTCGAGAAATTCGCCCTGCTGCAATTCGTGCGGAATGCACCAGTTACCATCTGCACCCGAGTATGCAAGATCAACGGAATCACGCTGCTCATATATGTAAGGGTTTGCTCCTCGGAAAAAGCATCATAGCCATCTCTAGGAAATGAAATGAAATGAATACACATCCTGAAATAAAAGATGTATCAACCTGCAACACACCGTTCGCGATAAATTCGGCGCCCACCTTCTTTGTGGATCCCGGCAGGACACGCCCGCACAAGTTTCGACCGCTTCACCAAACTGAAGTTTGCTGGTACTTACAGGGGAATCATCGTAGGCTGCGAAATGAATTGCGCCCACAGTATGGCCAGGTCCTTCGGTCAATTTCCCTCCTCTGGTACCCCATGGTTGCGGGACACCATTTAGCGGCCCAAGCTCCTCACAGGGGTCACTGGACTGCGAAGTGGGCGATTTTCTGGCCCCAACTTCCGCCCGTCCACTGAGACCGAAAGTTGGAAGGAAGGTCTCTGAATAAGAATCGGAACCCGAAAATTTGCCCCAAAACTGGTAGCAACTCACGAGCCACCCAGAGGGCCCGCTCAGTCAACACCCTCAACACCATGGTTGATGTCTTGTCGCCCAGAACCCCCCGACTTCTCCTGAAGAGCGTCCGAACCTGCCAAGTGGACTGCGCCGAGAAGAGGAAAAGAAACGGGTGAGACCCAACTTACATGGGAAAACTCCTTGTGCGGGTCATGGTCATGTTCCAATTGTTTGAGGCATCAACCATTTTAGGGATCACTATTTTCAGACTCACGCTTACAAGGGTTGTCTAAATTCCCTGTGGGATCCATGTCAATCCCATCAATGCGCCAAGGCAGGGCGCTCGACCACTCCAATGGCGTAAGAAGATACAAAATTGGGGGAACTTCGAGTTGCGCAGAGCACTTCGAGTTGTCCCCCATTGTCCTCCTCACATTAAGAGTAACGGACCGACAAGCAGCGGTTGCTTCAAAAGTCGCACGTTTGCGCAAACACGAGGCACATGCCCTACAGCTCTTGGTATGGTAGCAACAAACTTGCTTTTTGGGCAGACCTCCAGCAAAGAATATTGCCCAGAACAGTGAAGCCTGAGATGACTTCGCGTAAGTCCGACTCAAGCCCTGTGACCTATCAGCCCGGAAGAAGATTCCATAAATGACAAAAAGGGAGGCCACTTGCAATCAACCAAACCCGGGTCTCAAGGAAGTCTACCCAACATCAGCTGGCTGTGGCCAAAAACAATGTACCCCAAATGGCACCTTGGCATATGAAAACAAAGACCAAAACCTGCGGCTTGCCCCAGCTGCACAAAAAAAAAAGAGCCACGTGGCAAGCGCTCCCAAAGCCCTTCAGTTTCGAAGGTGGCTGACTTGAGGTGTGGAAACCCGGCCGAGCGGCGTGTAAATGGCAACAAAGACCAAAACCTGCGGTCCAATTCCTGGTGGTTTAATTTTGACCCATACCCACTTGCCCAACAACACGGAGGATGGGCTGGGCGTCCAACCTCCCCTCCGTATTTTTTCTCCTGGCCACATCCCAATTGTTGGCAAGGCCAATCTTCGGGAGCTTCCATTTGTTCCGAGCATCCTGCGAATTATCCCTCACCAAGACTTGGTCTCCCATGTGGAGTAACGAACCCAAAAAGCCGATGCTTCAAATGACAAACACCGTGAACATCGTTTATTCTAAGGCGGTTGACGTTAAACACAAGTTCTACTGGAGTTTATTGTTAAACACAAGTTCTACTGGAGCTTATTGTTCACAAGTGCTACTGGAGTTTATTGAAATAGAAAGGTGTAGTACTTCAGCGGCGCCCGCTGTCCGAAGCCATCATGTGGAGCTGAGTGGCCCTCCTGAAGAGCTGGATATAGTGCGCAGCCGCCAGTAGCCTCGATGCTCTTGCATCATTTGATGTAGCGCAGCTTGGGTGTCCGGGTCTTCGCAGTCAATAAGAACTTGCCCGGAACCTCTGATGCGATTCAAGTCTCTAATGGAGTACATCGGCATGTGTACCTGAAGTTGTTGCAGTGCACCTTGATCAGTCGTTGGTGTACTTGTGGTGATCCGTGGATTGTGGTGAGAAGGGAATGCCGGTCGTACTCAGTTGTTTTGAGTCGTATGCACCGATTAGCTCGGTTTGACGGTGTCATCAGTTCTATGAAGTTGGTAGCGCTGAAGAGAGCTGAAGAAGTTGGTTGGTGTCAAGTAGCAAATGGTAGTCCCATATGTAGCGGTATGCTTGGAGTTTAGTCTAAAACGATAGACATTTAAGGGTATACTAACCATGTGTTTAGACAAGCCTCCTTTGGGGCAAGCGCACGAACAGAAAGCATAAAATAGCTTGATCTTGCCACATCTGCTCTTCCCCGGCCGTCATCATGAGCATGTGCACCTTTTAGCCCCATACACCCAATGTATGTGGTGTAACGGTGCATTGGACAGAAAAGGCGTACGTTACGCTTTTACGCTTGCCCACTGAATTGGGATTGTGCCCTGACAACATTAGCCAGTGATGTGAACATGATTAGGCAATTGGATACATGATGTAAGGACAATCTTTCCCCCCGCACCCAAGAATTCATGGGAGAATTGTTATGTTCCCATGGTGGCTTGTTGGAAACTTGGGTTGTTCCCCAAACCACCAGTAGACCGAGAATATATATATATTGAGAGTTGCTCACGTGGGCATGTGTGTGTGTGTGTTTTGAGTTTTGAAAGTACCCTGTCCCATCTTGCAGGGATCCTTACATTATACACCTGAACATTGCCTTCTAAATGGTGGTGTCCCTTTATTTTGGTGGAAAAAGCCATGTTTCAAATGGTTGCAAAATGTATCTTTTAAAGAGGCCTGATCTTGCCTTGCGGGAAACCAAAAGGAAGGCGGCAACTTTTATTCTAGGGGTAACTTCCCCATTCTTTCCAGGGATCCTTCTTTCTAGAAAACCACCAAAAACCCTGGGGAAATGGCTGGTTTTGGAAAAGAACGATGGCTGAAAAGAATGGGGAATCAACCCCTAGATTTATGGGTCGCTTCACAAGAACCCATTTGGGTGTGGCTCAAAATTAAACAGGAGGGGATACGCAGGTTTTGGTCCATGTTTTCACTTGCCAGGGTTCCATTGTGGTACCGGCTTTTTGAGCCACTGCCATTTGTCTGGGTGAATTATAATACTGCTCCAACCTGAAATAAGGTTTTTTGGGGGGCTATCCCCACATAAACCACCATTTGGGGTGAATTCGGTCGTGTGAGGTCGTTATAATTCACCCAGATTTGTTTCTGTGCCAATAGCGCCCAGTTGCCGTCCCTCCCGCACAAAAACCACCGATGCATCGACACCGCCTTGGGAGGATCTGGAGGAAAGCGCAGGCTGGCGAGAGGCCCCCCAGTCAATCGCGGGCCATCCGCAGATCCCCGAAAAGTTGCAAACTTTTGGTGGGTGAAATGGACACCCAAACACTCTACACCTAAAAACTTCAGGGGATGGCTGGAAACTTTTGAGTGGAAATGAACTTAAAAACCTGAAAAACCGGATGGCTGGAAACCACCAAGAATCCACACCTTCCCCATGTCCTGAAACATCACCCCGCCAGCATCCAAATGGTGCGGTTGAGGACCACCACAGGAGAGATAAGGGGAATCCTGCCTTTATTGGGCCCGTCTGCTGTCCCACGAATCTTGCACCAGCGCGATCATCTGCTCAGTGCAATGACACTCACGTCGAGCAACGCACACCACGAGCACAGCTCGGAGCATGTCCATGTCAAAGAAAACTATCTTCCAGGACCTTTATGTCAGGTTCCATGTTTGTGGATGGGAGGGTAGATTCCTCGGCTTTCATCTGTAACAAGATCTGATAAAGCTCCCTACAAAAAGAGGCAATGGGCCTTTGGCCAAACCAAAAGAGTGCCGGCTCGGGTTGCAGAAAGCTCCATTCGCCCAAAAGTCACCGGGTACGGTGACTCATAGGCAATAATGACCCCATACGAATCAACCAACCAGTTTATTAATAGGGGGCTGGTTTTTGGCCCCTCCAAAAGTGGTCTGATTCCCCACTAAACCCAGAAATGGACACCCCCCCTATGTTTAAACTGGGGTTGGTTCATATGGGGACCATTAGACCCTGAATGAGGCATGTCATATGTCTTTTGGGAAGCTTGAAGCGATCCAAGATTCCCCGAACATACTCGGAACATCTACAGGGGACCTTGGACATGTTGCATACTCAAGCTGGGTTGGTCCAACTGACCCCCTGCAACAACAAAAAAATGTTTACCGGTTTGTGGGGAAATGGCTGTTTCCAAAAAAGGCCCCCCCAAAAAAAAGTCGCACAAGAGCAACCACATAACGTTGGCCCCGCAGTAATAAACCCCAGTTTATTCATATGTGGGTGCTCCTATCCAAAAGTGATGATTCCCCACTCAACCCAGCGACACCCCCCTAATAACAAACTGGGGTTTCTTGATCCAGGGTTAACATTAAGGCCCGCGCAACCAACAGAAAGACTGCGCGATGCGCCGCAAGCGTTGGCAAGCTCCCGCATCAGAAAGACGCTCTCTGCTCTGAGATATGTAGGTTCTTCCAAGAACGCCTATGTTTGCCACGAAGGAAGGGGAGCTCTACCACCTCTTTCAGAATTTCTGGTTTCTATTGGAACCCCCAGACAAATAATCCACTCGCTGATGAGTTGAGCCCCCCCATTGAGGATGAATTCGATGCTTTAGGGTTGCCCACCCTTCAGCTGCAAGGCTCAACAATCCTGGGTCTACATTCCGGGTATAATCCACCCAACCCAAAGGAAAAACCGCCGTCCGAGCCCTCAAAGCCCCGCTTCACGAAGACATGGCCCTGGCTGCTTGCGCCCAATCCGTCGCAGGCTGGCCTGAACAGACTGCATGGCCACAGGCACACCTGGCAGCGAGTCTAGGTTTGTGAGGGAAATGGCACAACCCCTTCATCCTATATTAGGTGAAACTTATGCATAAGAATCTGAAGATGGGACTAAAGCATATTGTGGACAAAGTTCGCAGAAACACGGGAAATGGAAACAGGGAAGGGCATTCTCGCAAAGCGTCTTCCCTTTTGGTGGCCTGGATTCGCGGTGGGATTTGAATCCCTTCCTGTTGGCTCGGAGAAGGATCTGAGAGAGAGCAACTCGGTCTGCTTCGTGCAGATCTCCTGCACGACATTGAACCCAAAAGAAAAAACACTTTTGGAGGGCAGTTTTGGGTGGGGCGAATTTAACAGGGAAACGAAAGAATCTGGGGGGGGGGGGGGGCATATATAGCCCTTTGACATACCTCTTGGGTAAATGACGCCAAAAGGCTTGCCCATGTTTATACCCCTCTCCCCCATGTTTATACCCCTCTCCCCAAAGGCATATAAACCTCTTATACAGTGGGGTGATCATCAGGGAAGTAACCAGGGAAGCCTAGGAGTACGGGGCATGTCCTTCCACCCTTAGACTGAAATCCCTGCTGGCCATTGAGGAACATCTTGGGCCACTCGAAACTTCGGGTTCCACATTGATCCGACAGTCTTGGTTGACGTTGGAAGGGGAGCAAAAATTTAAATTTTAGCAGCTAAGTGGGGATTTCCCTCTAAACCACAATAAGCAAAAGTGTAAAATGTTTCCAACAACAACCATGCAGGGATGCCTGGGAAAGGAACGGTTCCTTCCCAGGCATCGATCTCCTCCCTATTCCGTCGCCGAATTTAAGATCTTTCCAGATGACCCCATCATGAAACTACGAGCTCAGATTCTTCCGAGGAAGTCGTCCAGGTGAGCCAAGCAGGTCTTTGGGACCAACTTGAATGTATGAGTTAGGGAGCTGCATGAGGCCAGTGAGCTCGCCATAAAAACAGATAAGACTGGACACTTGCCCTGTTGCTCTTTGCCGGATGGGTTAAATCCCTGGCAACACGCTATGTCTTTCTTTCCCGCTTATTTAGGTTCTCTCCAAACAACTCATGGGGGAACGCGCTTCCCGCAATTTTTGTAAGACCCCCGGCCCCAAAACACCGAGATGCGCCTGCGCCTGCATCCTCAGAGCGCCTGAGGAGACATACTGTGGAGGGACGAAAGCCGTTCGACCACTTTGAACCTATGGGGAGCCAGTATTTGTTGGTATTTACAGGGGAATCCGAACCAGGGGTTTCTTAGGTGCTGCGAAATGGATTTTGTCCATCCACGGAAATGACCAGTGCACTTTGCGCAGCTTAATGATGTTTCATGGTTGCTTGCACATGTTGAAACCACTGTTTAAACTGCTTCCATTTGGCTTCCAAGGAAAAGGAAACGCAGTTCACTTGTGCTAGCAAAACGGGAGGAGACAGCATCCTTTCCCAGCAAAGATACGTGAAAGCTCAAGCCAAAACCAAATTCTCCAACAGGCTTGGGGCCCCTTCTTCCCTGCGACTTGCTTTTCATGGACAGGTTGCGAGGGTTGGGAAAAAACTATGGGGGTCCCTGAGAAACTTCCCGAAGAGAACTCGACTCAAGCGAACGAGTGAATGGGTGTGTCTTAAAATTAAGGGACCAAACAAAATGGTGGTCTTCCTTTTCCTACAACCAACGAAAGGGGGGCTCCTAAAGAAAGGCACGCCCAGTCCTGAGGGAAGCAAGGTGAGGACTGCCGAAGATGAAGTTCGCCACTTTGGTCCAAGCCCCCCCCTTGGCGTATCGTGCCTTCCGAAGAATCCTGGACAGAAGTGACCCTGTCTGTTCTTGAAAATGCATGGGTCTCCCTGGTAAATGGCTCATAACACCAATCAAAACCCCTGGAAACCATCTATCCAAACTAACCTATAAAAAGGACACCTATGATCCAAAATACACAAAACCAATGAACTCACCCTGAACGGTTGATCGACTGATTGATCGATTGAGCGAGCGATGGATGGATGGATGGATGGATGGATGGATGGATGGATGGATGGATGGATGGATGGATGGATGGATGGATGGATGGATGGATGGATGGATGGATGGATGCATGAATGGATGAACGGACGGACGGACGGATGGATGGATGGATGGATGGATGGATGGATGGATGGATGGATGGATGGATGGATGGATGGATGGATGGATGGATGGATGGATTGATGGATTGATGGATTGATGGATTGATGGATCGATGGATCGATCGATCGATTGATTGATTGATTGATTGATTGATTGATTGATTGATTGATTGATTGATTGATTGATTGATTGATTGATTGATTGATTGATTGATTGATTGATTGATTGATTGATTACTCCCTTGCAGCAAGCCTGAAGGAAATCAGTCCCCACACGTTGTTCTTTCGCTCTTGCCGTTTTGGTCAGTTGGCTCTCCGACCACAACTCCAGCACCTTCTTTCGGCCACGGGTTCACTTCCGCACCGAAAGTCGTTTTCGAGCCTCCCACCCCTTTCCAGCCCCGAACGGAACAGGATCGCTGGCTTTGACTCTTCAAAAGAGGGCCAGGCGAGCCACGCCTGTCCATCCGGCCGAAAAAAGAAAAGGTCATTTGATTGGCCGTTGAAGACCTGGGGGGTACAAGCACCTCCTTCTCCAATTGAGTCACTTGCTCAAAACCCGGTATTAAAATGGTCGTAATTCCAGAACCATGCTGCAAGAATTAAGAAGGCAGCCGCAACTATTTCTGGCTGGGACTGCCCCTTACTAACCTTCATCTACCCGAATCGGTTTTGAGCAAGTGGCTCAATTGTTCTTGGGGTACGTGCCAACACCTCTTCTCCACCTTTGCCATGGGTAAACCCCGTACCCCCAGTGAACATCCCAATCCCCACTAAAATTGGTTCTGAAGTGGGTGGTGAATACACCTACCCCAAAATGGGATCCCATTGGTTTTGTGCAAGCGCCCAACTTGCCAATCCAAAAGCGGGAAAGCGCTCGCCTCCGACCCCCGCGAGCATGGAGCCCAACACCCGACAGGGCCGCCTTTCCGACAAGCGCCGGCGAGTCTGCTTCCAGCCTCAAGGAGAAGGAACCGCAACCAAATTGAATATATCAGCTTTCACTACCCGATGAATAACCGGTGAGTAATGCCAATTAAGGAGGTTGACCGATGAATCATTCATTTAGTTGGGATACCCCTGCAAAACCGATGAATGATGCCAATTAAGAAGTCATTTAGTTGGGATACCCCTGCAAAACCGATGAATAATGCCAACTAAGGAGTCAAACGATGAATAATGCCAATTAAGGAGTCATTTCATGATTCCTCTGAAATGGAAGAGAAGACAAAGGAATGAATCATTCGTTTAGTTGGGATACCCTGCAATTCAACATGGAAGCAACTTTACATGTCACCCGAAACGGAATTCCCCAACAGAAAAGATGTGTATCTCATGTTTGCAGTAGAGTGAGCGGTCAGGTCGGTTTATTTGAGTGCCCCAAAACCCCGTGGATGTCTGGTAGAAGTCGCATGAACACGTGCTTTTAAAAGCCTCACTGGAATCCCCCTCAAACTTTGCCATCAAACAAGGTAGTCGAACTCTGTGCTATAACGGCTTTCAAGGGGGTTGGGTGCCGCTCATTTGGGAATGTTACAGCCGGCGACTTTTTTGCATCAATACCTACAGACCCAATTCTGTACCCCCTAGGTAGGTACCCTGGTCTGTCGGTATATGCACTTTACCCGTTTCCTACAAGGTACGCGATTGGCACCTAGGAAAATAATCGCGAATGGAAAGAATCATGCCCCCCAGCAGAAACATGCCTATGTATCTGCAGCTGCACCTGCCCACTGCTCCTGTGCCTAACTTCTACATGCGCACAAGCATGGATGTGCAAAGCATTCCTTCCATGCATACATGCGATTGCTGGCCCCCCCCCTTTTCGTCACCATGAACATGCAACCATCACAGACAGACAAGCAAACAAGGTAAGAGTGGGGATATCACCACCCAAAGCAAAGATCAACGCTGGCTTGCCGAAAAGTGTCGTGACGGCCACTTGCTGTCAAGATGTGCGATTGAGCTAGACATAGGCACTCCCAGACCTACCTCCTTCTGCTTCGAGTTTCGGGGCATCCAGGCATTCTTGCGCCAACCAAGTAGATGATTCAAGGTCAGTCACCGCTTGGGCGGGCACCAGTCCCAGGTATTGATGATAAACCCATGAGTTTATGCGAGTTAAACGCACAGCGCTGCCCAAAACATGAACAAGAAACCGGTTCCGCTCGACAATCTGCACAACTTGAACTCTTTGCGGGTCCAATTCGGAAAATCCAGCCTGCTTCAACCAAAAAAATAATTTCAAGCCCAAAGATCCGTTGCCAAATCGCCATGCAACTTGAGTGTCCTTTATTAAAATACAACAACCTCCACGGGTTTTGGTGTTGGGTTCCCATGCACAACCAATCCCCCAAAAAGGGTGCCTGGGTCATCATCGTGACAAAGTCGCCTTTTGACCAGTGGGTCCCTGTCAAGGTCACCGCCTGCGCCGCCTTCACAGCCGAAGCACACGAAAATTCAGGCACGCCTTCGCCACCAGCCCCAGTCTCAAGCCCACCGAGCGCGTCGCCTTCAGGCTCCGTGGCGAGATGCTCCAAATGTTCACACACATGACCACACCACCTACATGCCGGAGGGGCAACTACGTTGGCGGCATACATCCGCTGAGCGTTCAAGCTGGAGCACGTGATGGCTGAGCAGTCGAAGCCGAGCTGACACAAGAACGCCCTCTGGGCACGCGGCGGCTGGATAGCCGCCTTACTCAAGGTCACATCCAGGAGCTGCCAGGGCCGAAAGCCAAATCCTCGCGGCCACTGGTGCAAGGGGCTCTGTATGCGACCTGGAGAAACGAAGCAACCCCAACCGCGTCCAACCTCCAGCCCTCCTTCCAAAAACACATCTTGTTGGGGGGGGGAGGTAAAATCGAACCCAAGTGGTGTCCTTCGGGTTTCCCAGTAAAACCAACCAAAATGGGACACCTCTGGAAAGGTGGTTCACGTCTGGGCCAGAAACTCACTTTGAAGTAGCAACCCAAAGGAATGACAACGTCCGTTTAGACAAAAAGATGGCACTGGTAAAGGATGACCAAACTGAAATTCCAGCGGAATCCATCTATCTTGAACACCGGCCTCTTATAGGGACACCGTGTCTTTGCAACCCTGGCAACCCTTCTCCCGGATGGTTCTCACAACAGTTGGGCCACTAAAATGGTTGGCTTCCTTTTGGCATCCCTGTCCCGTTTTGGAGGAACCCCTTTTGGCTTGGTTTTAAAAGGAAAAAGAGAACCAATGCCATTTTGGGGGACCCCTAAAAAGGGACACATCCGTTTTTTGAGAAACTCCCTTCCAACCAAACTGCCCACCCCTGTCAGGGGTCAAACTTGCTGGTGCTCAGCAGGCAACAAGAAATGGAATGACCACTAGAAAAAACCATCCAACTGGTGGTTTCCTTTATTCGAGGACCAAAGCCTGGGGTTCATTCAACCAACGCCCACTCTCGTTGTCATGCCCTGAAATCCTTCGCCACTCGGACCACTCGACCGCCCCAACAGGTCCCCGGGCCGAAGAGCCGCGTGCGCAGAGCCGCCAGGGCCTTCCGGAGCCGGGCGTTCTGCTGCTCCTGGCCGTCGTCGATCGCGTCGGAGTGTCCCCCTCCACCCAAACCACCCCCCCCCCCTTTCGATCCCGCCCTCCGAAACTTCAAGGGAGGCTGATGGCTTCCATGGTTCTGCGAAAATGGCTGCACAAGGCCCCCTCTGTTTCCCCGAAATGAGACCCGGCAAGGCAAGAAGGAGGGCCCAAAGGAGTGGGGAAGTTGGGTGTAATTCTGACATGTGCTCGCATCCTTCCAACTCATGACAAAACCATCGTGAATCTGCGCTTCGGTCCCTTTATTGCCAAGTTGAGGGATCTGCTTTGGGAAATCTGCCAAGTATGCATGCGTGAGAAAATGGGGAAGCCACCACTGGATGGTCAACGTGAATCAGGAATGTATGGGTGTCTCTTTCTTAGGGGACCCCAATAAAATGTGTTTGGCGTCCCTTTCAACCCACAAGAAAGGGCACCCACAAAAAGACGAGTCACCCATATAGCGATTTGTTTGCCGCTCTCAACCCGTTGCATTCTGTCCAGAGACACATGTGCAAAAGACACTAACTCAGAGGTCACTTTCATGACGGGTTAGGCCGAGCCCATTGTTGGACTCATTCTCAAGGAACAAGCACGTTTTTCCCCTCGCTTGCGGGTTGGCCAAAAAGATCAACCAAACTTCTTACTCACCACTAAACTGGGGGCTTGTCCTGTTTTGGGGCACCCGCTTCTGGGGCCACTTTACAAGGGAAACCAAAGGGGGCGCCCCAATTTTTAGAGACCGACCCAACGTCCTCAGATGCCCCTGGGTCAAAAGTAGGGTAACCCCAAAATGGAACCCTGGTAGGTGGAAACATGGACCGAAACCTGCGGTCCCCTGGTGGGTGAATTTTGACCGATACCCACATCGTGGCTTTCATGGAAACTCGACCTGGAAACATCCAAGGCACCGGATGGCCCGGACCGAGTAAAATGCTCCTAAACTCCAAGAGTTCGTCCATGAACTCATTGGTTTCTTATCAACACCCCTCTTCAGAACCCCCCCCGGCTTTTGTGAGTGATTCCAGTGGCCGAGCAGGGGAAAAGATCTGAAGGGGGGTGTTGGTAAGAAACCTATGATGAACCAAACCCATTGGATGGCTGGGACCCAAGTAAAATGCTCCAAGCTTCATGAAACCTCTTGGTTTCCCAACCATCCCCGTTCCTCGGGTCGATTTTTTTCGGCTGGGCGTCGGGCCAGGCGCCGTTGCCGGGAGACCAGCTCCTACAGGGCTCAAGCTTTCCGCGGGTCCCAGGTGGGACCCAAGGGGCGCCAGAAGCGTGTGGAAGCTGAATTCGACGGAAACACGATGTGTTGGATCCACCTCGCGCCGATCCATCCTCAAGCTAGCCCCCGTGCGAAAACACGAAACCCCCCTGAACACCAAGAACAAATGGGACCAGTATTCGGATCCAAACCACTGCTTTTGGGATACGCTTGGAGATGTTCAGGGTCACTGGATTTCCCCAAACAAGTTGGTCAACTTCCTGGTCTCGTATGATCCAATCTGGGAAACGGCTCGCTGAAACCCGGAAAGGAGGAAAAAAAACGATCCGCTTTTGGAGGCAACCCACAATTTGGAAAATGGCTCGGAAACTTGGAGGAGAAAAACAAAAAAAAACAGAAGAAGAAAGAAAACGCTCCCAACAACAACCATGCTATGTTAGCGCCCCTTAGGCAATCCCTTGTGCTCCTTGAGATCTTGCTTGGCGCACGAGTTGTTTGTCAGGCTAGCCTTGGGAAACCACAAGGGCACCGCCCTTTGGAGGCTTTTCCACTTGGAAACCAACCGGCCTCGATGAAAATTCACGAAAGTGCATGGGCGCAAAAAGCCATGCCAGATTGTTTCGAATGAAACCGGTATTCCTGATGTGACTCCAATCTTCAGATAAAGCCTGTACAAACAGTACGAGTGGCAAAAGGCACCACAAACCAAGTCATTAGATGGAAGCGAATAAGAATAAGCAAACATCTTCCAGCATGTGTGCGTGCGTTTTCCTCCTCATTGCAAGTTGTGTCTGCCGCAGGTAGAGTATTGTTTAAGTCACTCGAATTGCACCCGTCCCATTCAGCAAAATCCTACAAACTTCCGTGTTTGGAGGACACTCTGCAAACGAACGGAAGGAACCCAACAACCCGTCCATCTGTAGGATCGGAATCTTCTTTGCGCGAACAATGGGGATCCTTCTTTTTATTGGGTCCAGAACAATTTGCAAGGGGGGTAACCGATCGATTGACAAGAACCGCCGTTATTCCCGTGAATCCAAAGTGGTGGTCTACTGGCAACAGTTAGCTGGCGGAATACCAAGGTGGTGATCTATTGTCGAACTGGGTGTGAGGAATCCAAAGCATCCTGTTGCAAAGGAATAGTGGAATGCATGCCAACCAACCTCCTAGTGTGAAAAAGAGTTTAACCCAAAGCGACCTTTCCTTTCCCCAGAGGGCTCTAACAAAATCTGGGCTGCCCTGTCCCAGGCAAAAAGAAACGCTAAGCGGATGGCTGGGAGCCATCAAGAAATGGAGCGTGCACTGCGCTCCTCCATCTGCGCTTCACCCTGTTCCTCCGCACGTCGCAGCCTTGTCGAACACAGAAACGGCCGGCCACGTTGCCCGAAAAGAGAGAGAGAGAGATGAGAGCAACCCACAAATCGTCCAAGTCGACTCGCTAGAGCAGAGCGAATTCATGACGGCAGCTTCTGGATTGAACTCGAAGGCATTTGCGTTCAGAACCCCGTTTTCCGGTTTTCAAGCACCCCAAAAGAGTCTGGCAACCAGCTCAGAGGCGTCAGGGTCGAGCTGTAAGAAGCCCACCTTTTGCAGTGAACCTCAGCCCATGGACAGCCGGGCAAGCTAGTAAGACAAAATCGGACCTCATTTGGTTTCAAAAAAGGGGGGTAAACTACTGGTCTAGGTGGAAAACACGGATTTAGCTTGGAATACGTTCGCTGATTCGTTAGATGGTAAACTTCCAGATGGAGCCAAGGATCCGTGGGCACAAAGTAAGCTCAGGTGATATCCCCAACAGCGTGCGGTGCTCTTTTTAGTGCTCGCACCCATCCCGCAGCCCTCGTTGCTGAAAGTCGTGGAACCCTGGTGGAACCCTGGTGGAACCCTGGTGGAACCCTGGTGGAACCCTGGTGGAACCCTCGTGGAACCCTGGTGGAACCCTGGTGGAACCCTGGTGGAACCCTGGTGGAACTCTCGTGGAACCTTACCTCAGGGCCGCCCCGGACCACCCCGGAGCCTGGGCTGGACCCCGACCTCTGGGCCCCCCTTTCGTCGGGTCACCAAGAAAATGCGTTTCGCCCCAGTTTGGGGTTCCCCTCACCCACATCGAAGCTGGCGAAGCTGACCCGGACCCTCCAATGGCGCACTTGACTTCCAAGAAGAACAGGGCTGTGGGGAATGGAATCCACTTCTGTGATACAACAGAAAGGGCTTCCCAAACACTAAGCCACATATATTTTGGGGGAGTCCAACTTGTATCCCAGAGGGGATAAACCCCGAGTGGTCGGATCCACTCCCCACACGCCCCCCCGGCCGAACACAATGCGACTTCACAGGCACGGTGTCCAACCCGACGTCACAAATATGACCACCCCAAGCGAGAAATCGCAAGAAAACTTGCAGAATCAGTGGAGGCGTTCTTCCGGACGCTAGCACAAACAAATAAACAAACAAAAGAAGCAAAGAAACAAAGCAGATTAGAAAAAGCAATCAAGCAGCACAAAGACAAATAAACAAAGAAATGAGCAAACAAACAAACAAACAAACAAACAAACAAACAAGCAAACAAGCAAACAAATAAACCAACCCAACCAACCAACCAACCAACCAACCAGCCAACCAACCAACCAACCAACCAACCAACCAACCAGCCAACCAAGCAAGCAAGCAAGCAAGCAAGCAATCAAGCACGCAAGCAAAATGCAAGCAAACCCGCAAACCTGCAAACAAAACGCATTCGCAACTCCAAGAAATGCCTTTCCACCATCTCGCGAACTCTTCTCCTTCAGGTCTTGCCCCTCCACCTGCACAACCAAATAAACATCTTTTAAACTCCAAACATCAAATGACGTCATTCTACTCCATCGCCCTTTCCGGACCTGGAAGGAAAAGGCGAACCTCTTGGAACCAACAGGCGAAAAATAGACAAAAGCTCAGCCATCTTCGCCGTGCAAAGCCAGTTGCATTTTTCCAGGGCCCGCTGAGCCTTCTCAACCCCTGGTCCCAAAAGGTCACCTCCTGTCGCCTACCCTTCGAGGTCCTTGCGGGAGGTCCCACGTCTTTCCGCAGGCTCGAGGCGCGTCCAAAACCTGCGAGACCGGGCGCCAGGCGTCGCTTGGAGCCGGCGTGTGGCTTCCCACTTGCTGCAGGCGCTGGCCTCCGAATGCCGAATGTCGGAAGTCGAATCTCGGCGATCGAGGTCCAAATGGGTCAAGGGTCAAGGGGTGCAATCCATGGGGTGCACCCAAGCTGGGCGTGTTTTTTTTTGGAGTCTTTTTGTTTTTGTTTTCTTTTCCCCGAGATGCCTGGTGAAAAAGGGCAACTTGTGGTCGGTGAAATTCGGAAACCTCGAATCGCTCTCAGGATGGTTGCCCCCATACCATCTTCCAATCAGGTTGAGTCGGGTGGTTCCCTTAAGCAGGGAAATATGATGTCCAATCGTCCAGTCGAAGGCGCCAAGCATCAGAAATATCTACTAAGTTAACCATTCCCCCAGTTTATGAAATGCACATGTGGTAAATTTGGCGGCCCATGTCAGCCCGAGTATTGACGGGGGATTTGGCTTTGTTCTTGCAAACAGGAAAAACATAACCAACACTCACCAGGCAAAGTCAACCGCTCCAAACCAAACCAAACCAAACCGCCCCGGCATGACTTATTCTCGGACTTTGGATTTCGTAGAGGAATCCCCCTCAAATGTATTAATTCGGCACAACCCGAAGTTGACACTCAGGTTGACCCAAGCGGATTGTAAAACCCTGGTTGATTCGTACTGTGGCTGGACGAATCATTTCGCACCACTTTGAAACCATGGTTGAAACCATTACGTTGGTTGGCATTTTTGTTGGGGAATCAACAGCAACCAGGG